GTAAACCTTTAAAAACATTGAAGATACATTGAAAACATTTTGACCTTAATTATTCGACTGTTCCTATGACAGCTAAATGGAATCGTTTACCGGTTTGGATAAAATTAATTCATTAATATGTCCAACACAATGTAAGAAAAAAATGGAAAATTAGAGAAGCTGATTCCATGGCAGCTATATATAGATATAGACGTCGGACTTTGTTTAAATTTAAACTGTAATTCTGAAATATTAAACATTTACTACATATCAAAGAACTAACAAAAAAATTGAAAAAAACAGCAAAGTTATAATTTTACTTCAATTTTTTCTTATGAGAGCTATACAATATCAAACAAAACGATCGCACATTTAACTCCAAAAACTTCTGATATCAGATTTCTGCTGGTTATTATTTATTTAACAAAATATTTTGTTAAATTTTTATTCAATTAGTTTATAATTCATTTTTCATAGGCCTTGAAAAACACACACCCGTAGATTTAGTCGCTTAGAAGTTGTGGGCGCGGGAAACCAATATTTTTTAGCCATTTTTAGCCAACGGATTTTTTTAAAACGTGGTAGAACTGATTATTGATTATCTACGCCCATTTCGTATGCACATACTCTTACAAAAGCGATACCTTTTGATTGCTAAATCATTTTTTTAAATCGGACTTTCCTTTGCTGATTCTTACTATTGTTTTTATATATAGTAGTCTTCTTGCGCACACTATCCGGTGCTGATCATCACTTCCTGAACGGGCGTTGTTCGATCCGACTCGTTTCGACTTATATACTACCTGCAATACGAAAGAAACTTTTGGGAATGTTCATGCAGGAAGCTTTAAAACAGACTGACTAGTTTGCGTAGAAACGTACAGACGGACAGTCTTTTGCAAGGGTATAACAATCGATCATGCCCATTGCAACTATATGACATATGATTCCTAAGAAAGGTTTTTACATTGTTCGTTCAAAAATTCGATAATATTTCCATTAAACTCAAAAACTGGCAAATCTGGCTGGTGTAGAAACAAGATAAACTAGATGGATTCTCCTACTATTTTAATATGTTTAATATATTTAATATATTCAATATTTTTTAATAAAAATCGGTTAATAATTACGTGTTCTATCAAGAGTTTTAATTTCAATTTAGTAAGGAAAAGAGACAAACGGTCTTATAGGGTACAAATTTTCACTAAAGTTAGGAAAAATCGTCGGAACTTAAAACGTTAAACACTTCGCAATAAATTTTCGAGTGTAGTGAGATGGTGGATTTGGTGGGACTCGAGTCCCTCGACTGTAGTTGCATTGCTGCGGCATTTGAATGCGGTCCTCGTCCAGTGGCGTCCTGCGAGAGCCGAGCATCCTTGCATATTTAATCAAAGTGAATTACAAATGCCACCAGACAATGACAGTGGCAACTTGGCAAATGACGATGGAGTCGACGCCTTCTACGCCCCGTCCTTATCAATTTGAAAGTGTTTAATATAACGCCAGGACCAGCGCCAGGATAATGTTTCATTGTTGGCTGAGCAGCGGGGGAGCGCAGGAGTCGGGGCGTTGTAGCTTGTAATTTGTAATTTGCGTTAGCGAGATCAAAAAGCATTCAGTTAATAAGAAGACCAGCAGTCCATTATTTAGCCATTGATGGGCACCGAGCACTTGCCTCAGAAATAGCGCTCCCTTCAAAAAAAATTAATTTATTTCGTTTTCCAAGCTCCTTCCCAAGTGCCCGAAAAAGAATTTATTCTGAGAAAAAAGGAAAGTTAGCTTTATGGTTTGCACCTTTTTTTTTCACTCAAACAGGAAAAGTATCCATAAAATTCCCTCACCTTTTCTCCAAAGGGGCTTCCCCTTGCTAAGTCCAATCTCATTCCCGAGGGCGACAGTTTAATAATTACTCATTTTGCTTTTTTAACCAAGTTACTTTGTGAAAAATGGCAAAGTTGTATGGAAAACGGTTTCCATTATCTATGTAAACCTTTCTGATTTTAATTTCAGTGGCTTGTACTTCATTTAACCTTTTCTTTTAGGGCTTGATATGATTTTCGATTGTTTTTAGGTGTTCCATTTTTTTTGTTAAATATCGTATTTAATTAAACGACTTTGCCCTTCTGAGAAGTTTCCAGGAACCAATAAATTAACAAACGCAATTAAAGAAAATGTATATATTTGGAGCGGTAATAAGTTATGAAAATTTATTTAACCTTATTTCTCGATACAAAGGCGTAATTGTTAAATGGTCATTCATTATCAATAATTCAATAAAATGAAATAAAAATCAAAATCAAACACGTGGCAAGTTTAACTTAACTTTTTCACTAAAGTCTTACAATTCCAGCAGAAAACAATATTTCCCTTGACACCACACACTCCGAATTTTACATCGCCGACGAGGCACGCATAATTTCTGACGCATAGAAATTTGTCTGCAATTCAAATTCAAAATAGTTCGGCGACACAAGTGTATGAAAAGTCCCTCTGGGTGCAATAAGGAGTTAAGAAAAGAGCGTAAGAAGACCCAAGACGTGAAACTTTCCAGCCGGACCGAAAAATATTTTTATGCACTGCGGTGGGTCGGTATCGTTTTATGGGCCCTGATTTTATGACTACTGCATATTTGCCGTGTGTTGGTGAGGGGAGGTGGTCCTGGAAAAGCCTCCCACGCAGTTTTCCCACTTTCCCCTTTTGGACTGACAGCTGCTGCGGCACTTTCAATTAACCCTTTTGACATTGAATACTTGAACACTTGAATACTTGATACCGGCGGAGCTGCTCGCTCTGGCTTAAATCGAGATTAGAATGCTGGAAATTTAAGGCCACACCCCACTCCGCCTGCCAACCGAAGCCCTTTGCATAATTTAATAAGCTCCTCCATGTAACCAACTCGCAGAGCTTGGCTTTCCTTTCTTTTCCACATCTCTCGGTTTTAGCCTATAATTTACAATGTTTCGGCGCGTCTTGACTTGGCATCCCTTCTTGGTGTTCGGGAAAGGGTAAAAATTAACATTTCTTTGCCGTCGCTTACAATTTTCGGTAAGCATTTTTTAACTGGAAATTAAAGTGCGCGCAAGTGTAATTAAGTAGCTGCTCAAGTTATGCGAGCAATCCCTTTCTGGCCATTTTTCAGCAGGCCAGTCGACTGTAAATGGGTTAAACTCTTGGGATTTATGACAATTTTTTAATTAGTTGACGCTGCCGTCCATCGCCCTTCGCTTTTGGGCCTATAAGCCAGAACCGTTTACGCTTAAATAACATATTTCATATCCAATGCTTGCGTGATTTTCTCTCACATATTGAGCGGCATTTATAAATGCATATGTAGATTTTATAACTTTTGGGTGTTCTTGGCTCATTTCAGTTGTTAAAAGTTTCTTTGATTGTTTTGGAATTCATTGAAAATGTTAAAAGAAGTCTTGAGCAAACGATAAAGTTCACAAAGTGAAGCCTAATTGTAGCAAAGTCTCCTAATGCCATTTGGAAATGGTAGCGTTCGGCATGAAATCTGTAAATTATGGATAATCTATAAGCGCAATTATTTATAATAAAAGTCTACAATTTGAAATAATCAAAAATGTAGCCAGTAATTTTTATGGAATACCTTAAGATATATGAATACCAGCTGTCTTAAACATTTATTTTGTTTGTCGGAGATGTCTCCTTCACTGCGTTGCAAACATTTGACTGAAATTATAAAACTTTCTGCAAGGGAACAAAATAAAATACGTCAAAGCACATCCGCCATATCCGTCAGTTTCTACTAAAACTAATCTCAATTTGTGAAAATCTAATATGTTAAGAAACGACTGTTTTGATTTATAACCAAACGCTACACAGAGAAAACTAGCAAAAGTTTAGTTGCAAAAACTGGGTTGAAACATTTTAAAGAGTAATGAGTAAAAGCTAGATGCAAATTTTGTGTTACTTATTGAAACTAAAATGGTTTGTTTTACTTATCAAAGTGTTTTTACCCTCTTTTTGCACATAAAAAGTCGTATTTAAAAGCTGTGTTTTCTCCGAATAGTTAAGTATTAACTTAACACAAATTAGGAACAAGAACGCATTGTTTTCCTCCTATTAAGTATACAACTGTGCCAAGAATTAAACCGCCAAACAAACAACAAACATTTTCAACTTGAGAAGTATTTCAAAATAAAATTGGTTAGGAGTAAGAATATATCATGTAATCCAAAGCTTATACAATATTGTAGAAGAAATTATACAAAAGATGATCTAAAGAGTCTTATCAGAATGTTACTGATGCGTTAACAGCGTTAACATGATTTTATATATGTGAAGACTCTATTCAGAATGTTACTGGTGTTTTCACAGCGCGCAGTAATGAAAGCAGTTCAAGCAGTTCAAGTTAGCGCGCAGTTTTGATTTAAATGTTAAAATGGTTTATGTCGTCTAAAGAGTCTTATCAGAATGTTACTGATGTGTTAACAGCGCGCAGTAATGAAAGCAGTTCAAGCAGTTCATGTTAGCTGCGCGCGCAGCTTTAGTTTAAATGTTAACATGATTGAAGCATATCTAAGGAGTCTTATCAGAATGTTAGTGATGCGTTATCAGCGCGCAGTAATGAAAGTAGTTCAAGCAGTTCATGTTAGCTGCGCGCGCAGCTTTAGTTTAAATGTTAACATGATTGCTCAAAAATTAATACAAATTTTTGACAAACTTATGAAACCCATTACAGTGGCAATTGCATGAACTATAACCCCGGTCGTTAATGGAATTTGGCAGGCTTTAACCCGCCTGCTGTTGAAATAAAATCCGACTTTATAGCACAGAGCACCGAACACATGGAGAATCATTAAAAAGCAATTACACAGAAGACACGAAACAGCTGTAGAAACGACAAGTGGACGGCCCCCCCCGCGCTTATCAATCGTGATATTCTACTTCCATATTCTCCGGCATATGTTTCGGTGTTTCGGTGCAGCACTCAAACTGCGATAAGCGTCGGGCGTGATTAAAGCCGCAACTGAATTGAGGCTGCTGTGGTTCTACTGGCACTCGAACCGACAGATCGGATTGCACGGCACTCGCTGCTCGTTTCAGTTGTTGCCCGTCGATCGCGGACTGCGGAAGTGTTGACATCACTGACATCCTCGCACCGGACTACATTGTCCACCCTGAGCCTTATCCTTACCACACAGCGGTAGTGAAAACCCTGCGGTCACGAGCCATGGAGATCCGAGTGGGAGTGGGCGATCTGCTGAAGATGGGCACCAAGTAGGTGGGCACACCGGTGTGCATTTACAGTAAAAGCTCTTGTGAAAAGTCTCACAAAAGTATTCGAGAACGGGGTTTAATCAAAACACACGATAAGGTTTATTGAGCCTCGAAATAATCACAAATAGTTGACTGTTTGAGTGCCGATTATTGTGTACTTCAAGTGCACAAGAAAGTATTTTTGGAAAATACCTTAATGGCGTATTTATTTGTGTGTTGCGATTTATTTAGTTGTTCGTCAAAAGAAATAACTTTTCTAAAGACAATATTTTCATTTAAGTGATATTGTTCTGTTTTTATTTTCACTTTCTTAAATATTTTTTTGTAACTTAGGATATAGTTAAACAAATACTTTCACATATAATGTCTAAAATCATGTTTTTTTATAGCTGGTTCTTAATAATACGAATAGTCCTACTTATTTTGACTTAATCATATTTGTCGTTTGCTTAATTTGTTGTCAAAAGAATGGTTCACTACAGTAGATTTTACAGTACTCAATTGATCGGTTTTAGGCTCTCTCTCAGCGATAAGATAAGAAAAGCTTGTTATTAAACCGAATAATCTCTCTTACTCTTAAAACGAGGTACACAGAACAAAAAAGATTCAGATAGTCTTGTAAATTAACAAACAAAGAAGTTTGATTCCATAAAATCAGACAGCTTTCTAAAATATAAAGAGGTTTAATTGTAAAAAAATTGTAGTTTTCATATTGATTTTTAAAACAGACACACATTGACATTTCTTATACCACATTGACATATACCAAACTTTTTTTCTTTTTAATTTATGTTTTTTAAGTAAATCCCTATTTTTCGCGCAGGCTCATTGGCCACAAGATCGTCCAGTACCGCCTGGCCACCAAGCAGACGAAGGTGGTCTGCACCAGGGACGGTCAGGTGCGCGGACTCCGCCGCAGGACGCTGTACGACGACGAGCTGTACTTCGCCTTCGAGGGAATCCCCTTTGCGCAGCCGCCGGTGGGCGAGCTGCGGTTCCGAGCCCCCCAGCCACCACGCCCCTGGCTGGGAGTCAGGGATTGCACCTACCCGAGGGCCAAACCCATGCAGAAGCACTTCGTGCTCAGCATCGTCGAAGGCAGCGAGGACTGCCTGTACTTGAACGTTTACTCCAAGCGGCTGAGATCGGACAAACCACTGCCCGTGATCGTGTGGATATATGGCGGTGGATTCCAGATCGGCGAGGCCGGTCGCGACTTCTACAGTCCGGACTACTTTATGCAGCAAGATGTGGTCGTTGTCACATTTAACTACAGAGTGGGCGCACTGGGTAAGCTATTTAAGCTATTATTGTTCAAGATGTGTAAAGCAACTGTAGCAGATCGGATAAAATGTCCTCATTTGAGACTAGATGGCTAGGGTGACACAAGGTAAAAACTTTAAAAAGTTCCATCTTTTGTTGCAAATGCAATAATATAATTCAGATGGGGGATGCAGGAGTATTTTTCAAGTGATCACTGAAGTGAATTACTACTGTTTTTGATTCATTGTCCTCGAAAAATCAATATAGAAACAAAATTTGAATGACATTTGCTTGTTATGAGAATTATTATGTTATTAAGAATTCAAATACGAAGCATTTTACACGGAAAATGACAGGGAATGCTAAATTTGAACCTATAATTATAAAAAAATAAATACACTTTTCTTTTAATTTATTATATTATTAATTAAAAGTCATTTTTTTTTTTGGGCGTTTGTTCTAAATGAAGATTTTGTGTGTGTGTGAGTTCTTCATTGCATTTTTGGCTAATAGAAATTTCGGTTATTTCAAAAAAGTATACTTGCTTTGATCGGCTACCACCCTGGACTATACCCACTTTCGGGAAAATCTATAACAAACAAATTATACGTTGCACTTGCCATGCCATGCTAAGTCAATTGCTCTCGGAAATAATTTACAGACTGTAAAGTTTAATTGCCCCCTACTGCCAATTCCACAGTCAATCATTAGCAAAGAGATCATCACAACACCTGCAATTACTGCAATTATTATTACCTTAGCAATCAATTAAAATAATATAACAAACCAGATAATATATCGGTGAACGCCATTATTGTACCCTTGCAGAGGGTATTATAGTTTCAGTCAGAAGTTTGCAGTGAAGGTGGCTTTTCCGACCCTTTAAAGAATATACATTCTTGATCAGCATCACTAAGAGAGTCGATCTAGCCATGTCCGTATATCCCTCTACGCAAACTAGTCCCTCAGTTTTAAGGCTGCCAAAAAAGTTGTCCTTCTGTTGCAGGTAGTATATAAGTCCCATGGAAACAATCGAAAAAACGAAAATAAAATTTTGTCTTCTACATTTTTTACTTTTTTTTTTATTTCTTTGGGACCATAACTAAGATTTAATAATTTCAAATTTCGTTTTTAGTTTTATTCAAATCAAAAAACGATACGATCTAATAATTGAGCTGAAAATCATCATAGATTTAATTTGTTTTAAGACATATACGCTTATAAATGTTAATGTATGTTTTAAAGAATATTTAATTGTGCAATGCCTGCAAGGGTATAGAAACTCAAAGTATAATTATTCGATTAAGTTAAGTTGAAATATTTGCATTGATAATGAAGTTCAACTTAATATCATGTATAATAAACAAACATATTTATAGCTTTTAAAAACGGCATAAAATCGTAATTAAATAAATAATTACGACTGATTGCTTAAATGTATTTATTAAATATTTATTTTAAATGAAACCTCTGTCCCCTTGCAGGTTTCCTCAGCCTCGCGGATCGCGATCTGGATGTGCCCGGCAACGCTGGCCTCAAAGACCAAGTAATGGCCCTCCGCTGGATCAGCCAGAACATAGCCCAGTTCAACGGAGATGCCCAGAACATAACGCTGGTGGGCGAGAGTGCGGGGGCGGCATCCGTGCACGTGATGATGACCACGGAGCAGACGCGCGGACTGTTCCACAAGGCCATCATGCAGTCGGGCTCCATGTACTGCGAGTGGGCCAACGAGCCGAGGGGCAGGTGGGCGTACCGCCTGGCCCGCCAGCTGGGCTACACGGGGAGCGAGAACGAGAAGGAGGTGTTCCGCTTCTTGCAACGAGCGCCCGCCACCGAGATGGCCGCCCAGGGAATCGGCCTCGTCTCCCAGGAGGAACGGCGCGAGTACGTCCTGTTCCCCTTCACGCCCGTGGTGGAGCCCTATGTGACGGGGCACTGCGTGCTGCCCCGCTCCCACAGGGAGATGCTGCCGGCCGCTTGGGGCAACGACCTGCCGCTAATCCTGGGGGGCAACTCCTTCGAGGGTCTCTTCTCCTACCAGTCCATCCTGCACGACGAGGAGCACATGCTGAGCGCCTTCGAGGCCTTGATGCCGCGTGAGATCAGGCAGCGGAGCTCACAGTCGCAGCTGAAGGATCTGCTGCGTCAGTTCAAGGTGGACCAGTTCGAGGACCCAACTCGGGGGCGCATGGAGTTCAACGAGTGCCTGCAGATACTCTCCGCCAAGCACTTCTGGCACGGCATCCATCGCACCGTCTTGGCCCGCCTCCGACAAGCCCCCACCACGCCCACCTACCTGTACCGCTTCGACGTGGACTCGCCCCACTTCAATCACTTCCGGCAGGTGATGTGCGGCAGACACGTTCGCGGGGTCAGCCACGCCGATGACGTCTCCTACCTGTTCTATCACATCCTGGCCAACAAGGTGGAGAAGTCCTCGCTGGAGTACCAGACCATCCAGAGGCTGGTGGGGATGTGGGTGGCGTTCGCCCGCAGCGATAATCCCAATTGTCCACAGATTAGTCCGACCAGGTGGGAAGCCTTGGCGGAAAAAGGTCCGCAGATGTGTCTCAACATAGGGAAACAGCTGGAGTTTATGGTGCTGCCGGAGTCAAAGCAAAATCGGATTTGGGATAGCCTTTACCCTAAACACGACTTGTTATAGGTGGGAGGTTGGATAATTTGTAAATAAATCGCAACTGGCTGTTGCCACTAATAAAACTAGACCAAAGGAGGTTTTTGAAATTTAATACATCAAATGTCATTTGCTTAACATGAAAATAAAAATATAGTAAAATTGTAGATAAACCTTAAAAATGTTAATTTCTTTAGCAAAATACAAAAATGTCATATGCTTAACATAAAAATAAAAATAAAATTCTAGATAAACTTTAAAAATGTTAATTTCTTTAGCAAAATACGAGTAAGTGTTGTTCGCTTATATTAAATATGTACAATGATGCATGAATATAACAAAACTGGTTAAGGTGCTCGCATTAATCACAATAAGAAAACCTATTCGCCAGTGTAATGTACTTTTCCTTCACCATCGAGTCAAACTTGACCCTTGACAAGTGACTCGACGATGTTTTGTACTTAAGTTGAGTTAAGTGCTAGCGGTAACTGAGCGAACTTTTGTATTTTAACAAAGTACTTTAATATCATGTTTTGCATTGAAACAGTTTATTTGGAACTTTGTGTGATTTTTCCATTTGCTTTTATGCCAATTTAATTTGTACCTCGAGTTCTGATTAGCCGATTTTGGTCATCAACGATTTGTTAAACTTTCTGATACACAATAATTTGTTATTTGTTGTCGGAGAATCTGGAGCTACTATTTCTGCTTTAAAATGGATCTTTCAGAAAGCTAACAATTAATTTATCTCAATTATTTCTCGTTAAATCATTTTAAAAATTGGTATATGGATATTTTCCAGAGGGGCAAGCACGATCAGAAACATCCAAGTCAAAAAAGTATTTTTTTTTTTTATAAGGAATCTACTAAATTTAACTAATATAAGCAAATATTACATTTATTCATAGCACATTTTGAAACATTTCAATGCAAAGTCAAAAAAGTTTGAAATTTTTGTTTAGAATATATATATATTTTTTGTTTTGATTTATTTTTACATTCTAGGGTATAAATATTACCATATTGCATGTATTGGGACCAACCCTGATTAAACGGAGCTTAAGTCAAAAGAAATGTTAGGTGTTATTTTCTTAATCATGACTCCATGCAAGGAGTTCAACTACACCACAAAATTCAACTTTCATTGAGCACTTGAGTTAATAATCTACAATTTTGTAATTCATAATTGAAAGTCATTCAATCTGTTTGGTTTAAAAATTAGTACATTTTTCGGTCCAGATAACCAATAACCATTTATTTATAGAACAAATAATAGAAAACGTAATGTGTTAATCTCTAATTTCATATTTATAGATTTGGTAGTTCAAAATATGACCGAATACAAATCATTCATGTATTTTTATTTTTGGCAAGGCGATTAAAAAAAACATACATAATTAAAACAGTAAACAATAATGTTTTGTAAAAAAATAAATGATAGGGCAATTAGAATAGGCAATACGGCAATTTAAGAGGCGTTTAAGAAACTAATTATATTAAAGCGATTTTTAATAATTTTAAAAGAATGCATAGCTGTTTAAAAACGATCATTAGAACTATTCATTTTGCACACACAAGTGATACACAAATTTAAGGTCTAGTAGAGAGCCTCCTTGTAATAGAATGAATCCCACACGTCCATGAACTCGGCCTCCGGCAACTCCCGCATTTCCAGCTCAGAGCTGATGTTAAAGCACCGCTCCACGTCGTTTCCTGAAAGACGGACTGGCTCCCATTCGGCAGATCCCAGTTCCGGGCAGTTGGGATTCCCACTGGAGGCAAACGACGTCCACATGCCCACCATCCTCTCGATGGTCCTGTACTCCATCGACGACCTCTGCTGCCTCGAGGCTATGATGTTGTAGAAGAGATACGACAGCTCATCCGCATGGGCCACTCCGCGAATGCGATCCCCGCAAACCAGTCGCCGGAACTGATTGAAGTGCGGGGAGTCGAAGTCGAAGCGGTACAGGTAGGTGGCCGAGTTGGGGGCGTAGCGCTGACGGGCGAGAACCAGGCGGTGCAGATCATGCCAAATTTGGCGATGGGAAAATATGTTAAGAGCCTCAAACATCCCCATCGCTTCCTGCATCTCGTTGTTGAAATAAAGCTTCTTCAGCCGTCGAACCAGAAGGTCCTGCTCCTCCAGACTGCTGGATTGCCTGACTTCCCGCGGCAGGATGTTGTGGAAGTTCCTCATGCACCACGGATCACTTCGCAGCACTTGGTAGGAAAACAGGCCCTCGAAGGAATTTCCACCCATGATGATGGGTATATCGTTGCCCCAGGCCTCGGCCAACAGTTCCTTGTGCATCCTGGGCACCACGCAGTGGTCGCTCTCATAGGGCTCCACCACCGGCCCAAAGGCGAAGAGTAGGAAGCTCCGTATCTCGTCCTGCGTGATTACGTCCTGGTCAATGGCCGCAATCTGTCGAGCGGAAATCGTGCTGAGAAATCCGAGCACATCCGCATCCTTTTCTTCCCCCTTGTAGCCCAAGTTCTTCGCCAGCCGGAAGGCCCAGTTATGATCCGGACTCTCCGCCCACTCGCTCAGGGCACAGCCCGATTGCAGGATGGCCTTGTGAAAGAGACCGCGTGTCTGTTCAGTGGTCATCATCACGTGGACGGAGGCTGCCCCGGCACTTTCCCCCATCAAAGTGATGTTGTTGGGGTCGCCGTTGAAGTGGGCAATGTTCTGGCTGATCCAGCGGAGGGCCATCACTTGGTCCTTCAGTCCTGCGTTGCCTGGAACATCCAACTTGGGATCCTTAAGGCTGAGAAAACCTGTGAAAGAACAATGAAAGGTTTAACAAGAAAGGAGGCTCACTTCGGCAAGCCGAATTTTTTATACCCCTGCCGCTTTTGCTAAAACTAAAAAGTATTTTTTGCATCTAAATTTCGGTGTAGGAACATTGAAGCCAGTTTGATTTTTAGCTAAATTATATTATTAATGTTTTTGTTATAAAATGACTTGTCTTCCTAAAAATCGAATTAAGTCCAATTAAACAAAGAAAAAAATATGGCGTTGTTGCAAACAAACTATACATACCTACATCCGTTAAACAATTAATAAAATTGCTGATAAAGATTATATGATCGCGTCTAACTATAAATCTATAGTAGGTACTTTTGGTGCTAAAAACGCTTCCTTCTACTGATTAATTACGATTGAATGAGTAAAAATTAATATTTAACACAGTCCTTCTTCTTCCTCAACTCAAGTAAGTTTATATATATATTTGAAGTCAACAAAACGCAGGAAACTTACCTAGTGCTGCCAGCCTGTAGTTGATGGAGACGAAAACCACCGGTTGCTTCATGAAGTAATCGGGACTGTAGATATCCCTGGAGGCCTCGCCCTTCTGGAAGCCACCTCCATATATCCACACGATGACGGGCAGCGGCTTCTCCGACTTCAGGGTTTTCACATAAACATTTAGGTGCAGGCAATCCTCACTGCCCTCCACGATCCCCAAGAGCATGTTCCTCTGCAGGGGCTTCGATCGGTACGTGGTGCAGTTGAGCACTCCCTGCCAAGGTTCCGCCGGCTGGGGAGCCCTGAATCGGAGCTCGCCCACCGGTGGCTTGGCATACGGTATGCCCTCGAAGGCGAAGTAGGGTTCCTCGTCGTACACCGTCTTCCGCTGGAGTCCCCGAACCTGTCCGTACTTGGTGTCCAATGTCACGGTGTGACCTGTCGCCAGCCGGAACTGCTGAATCTTGTGGCCCACCAGCCTGTGGGGGAAATCGGGTGAGATCGGGGGTAAGGGAGTTTGGCTGTCCCGCGCGATAAGCGGTCAGGAATGATAACCGCAGGCAGTGGGTCGCACCAGGTCCGAAGGTAGCGATTCCCCAACCTTAGCTCTCTACTTTGGTTTTCGGTCGAATGTACTCACTGGGTGCCCATTTTGAGCAATTTTGGCCATCCCACTTGCACTTCCATAATTTTGTGGTTTTTGGATTGCTTTCGTTTATATATAATAGTATTTAATGAGTTTTATATCCACAGTTTTTATTTGAAGGCTGGTTGGATGGCCGGAATATTGGATTGATCTAGGTTTGCCGTGCGACTAATCGCTGATGTTTGGTCGCAGTACCTTAAATCAGCAGAGATGAAGGCAGCACACTCGAATGCATGTATATATAAATATTTATTTACGAGTTTTCCGGAGCTTTGTTCCTTATCCGCAATCGCACACAACAACGGATAGGCAAATAATACATTTCAACTTTACTATGATAGAAATAGGTAGCGGAAATCTAATTGATTTCTTAACACTTTTTCTACAATTAAAAAAAATATGATATATATATTATATGATTGAAAAATTTAAGTTTACTCCAATCTTTGTATGTTTTGCAAAAGCGTACTCATTTTATGTAATTTAAATTGGGTTTATAAAGTTTATGTTCAAAATCTAAAAGAACTTATTCGAATTTGTCAAATTTTTTTCAAAATATTTTAATATCTTCCCAAAAATCTATGATTTGGTAATTTGCCGAAACTAATAAGTTTTTAGTCACAATGAAATTGAAAACATACAGTTTTAAAGTGCGCATTTACTACCAAGGAACATGTGTACATAAGTGATTTTTCTAAACGTTTAATATTTTTATGTCTTTTGTTTACATATTCTGTTTTATTAAATATTCTGAATTGACAATGAACTATCACACAAACAAAAGATTATGTAAAACAATAGGAAAATAAAACAAGAAAGAAAACAAACTTCGGCAAGCCGATGATCATATACACTTGTAGATATTGCAAAAATGAAATGTTCTTAAAAATATTTAAATTTCGATTTATTTGCATATACTCTATGTTCAAACATATTATAGCTATGATGAGCCCAATCCTTCCTATGGCTGCTATATGATATCGTTTTCGATAGCTTTAAAACTGAGAGACCATTTTTCGTAGAAACAGACGGACATGGCTAGATCGAATCTCGTAGTGTTGCTGATCAAGAGTATATGTACTTAATGGAGTCGGAGATGTCTCCTTCAAAAATGGAAAGCTTTAAATACCGAAAGAATATCAATCAAGCTAATATCTATCAAGCTATTTACAAAATACACGTTTTTATTACGGTTTAAATTTCATCAAAATCGGACGACTATATCATATAGCTCCCATAAAAACAATAGAAATATATAATTTTTTTTTTTTAATGTAACTTTTCTATTTTGTAATTTTTAAAAAATTCTTTTTGACTTATTAATAATTTGACAGTTCAGAATACCGCTTTTAATTTTATTTAAATCGGGAAATGATATCATATAGCTGCAATAGGAACTATCAAATAATTGAGCTGCACATCGTCATAGCGAATCAATCATAACTTTAATGTCTTCAATAGCTGCAAAAGCTACAATAAATTTCGGCTTACCGAAGTTTGCTTCTTTTCTTGTTTAAAATATTTTATATGAATAACGGTTTTAATTTTGCTAACAAATGTAAATGGAATATTACTGTTTTAATGAAGAATTCATTTTTGAAAGAGCTGCAATGCATTAAAAACTGGAATAGCTGCAGGGCATATAAACTTCGGCTTGCCAATATTTGCTCCCCTTCTATTTAAAAAAAAATCTTTCAACAAATTTAATCTTAAAACCAACTAACTAACAAAAAATTAATAATATTTATTATTATTTTCAATTTTAAACTACGTGTAAATAAATGGAAAGACATAGATTTAATGACTAAAAGAGGTCCTCTTTGGGGTAAAGGGTGTCCCACACGGCCATGCTCTCGGCTTCTGGTAGTTCACGCATTTCCAGTTCATGGCTGATATTGAAGCACTGTTCTTTGCCACTTTCCATTGGCCGAATGGGCTCCCATTTGGCAGTTCCTATTTTTGGACAGTTGGGACTACCATTGGCGGCAAACGAGGTCCACATGCCTACCATCCTCTCTATGGTTATGTATTCCATCGAAGATTTATCCAGCTTTGAGGCTAATATAGTGTAAAAGAGGTATGATAAATCATCGCCGTGAGACACCCCGCGAACCTTGTTCCCACAAACCAATCGCCGGAATTGGTTAAAATGCGGGGAGTCAAAGTCGAAGCGGTACAAATAGGTTGGCGTGTTGGGGGCGTAGACTTGGCGGGCGAGAACCAGACGATGCACATCGTGCCAGACTTGGCGATGGGAGAATATATTCAAGGCCTCAAATGTGTCCATCCTTTCCTGCAGCTCATTCTTCAAGTAGTGTTTTTTTAACCGCCTAACCAGTGCATCCTGCTCCTCCCGGCTGCTGGCTTCACTCACCTTCCTGGGCAGAATGTTGTGGAAGTTTCTGGTGACCCAGGGGTCACCTATCACCAGTTGGTAGGAGAACAAGCCCTCGAAGGAGTTTCCACCCAATATGAGCGGCAAGTCATTGCCCCAGGCCTCGGCTAGCAGCTCTTTGTGCCGCCTTGGAACCACGCAGTGGTCGCTTTCGTAGGGCTCCACCACTGGCCCAAAGGCAAAAAGGAGGAAGCTATGAACCTCATCCAGTGTGATCACATCCTGGTCGCTATTCGCTATCTTACGCGCCGAACTCCTACTGAGGAAAGCAAGTACATCGGCGTCCTTTTCTTCCCCATTGTAGCCCAGGTTCTTTGCCAGCCGGAAGGCCCAGTTGTGATCCGGACTCTCCGCCCACTCGCTCAGGGCACAGCCCGATTGCAGGATGGCCTTGTGAAAGAGACCGCGTGTTTGTTCAGTGGTCATCATCACGTGGACGGAGGCTGCCCCGGCACTTTCCCCCATCAAGGTGATGTTGTTGGGGTCGCCGTTGAAGTGGGCAATGTTCTGGCTGATCCAGCGGAGGGCCATTACTTGGTCTTTCAGTCCTGCGTTGCCTGGAACGTCCAACTCTGGGTCCTTTAGGCTTAGGAATCCTAAAAGCATGAGTTACAAACTGGATTAAAGGGAGTTTTCTAAAAAAATACTGATAAATTTAAATGGATTTATTTGGTAAAAATCACCGAAAAGAAATTGAAGAATGATGCGTTTTACATTTCGTAATGATTACCGTATTACAGTAAATTAAAAAAAAAAACAGTAAAGGGACCCACGATTTACAAATATTTACTAGAATTTTAGAGCCACCGCTGATATAGTAAAATGTAACTAAATTGATTTCAAGCTAATTGATTACAGCTAAGCATAAACAAAAGAAGTAGACAAGTAATTAATGCGATTAAAAGTGTTTGGTTAAATTGATTGAAAAGTAAATTACTGTAAGAATTTGTTGATCATACAAGAATGAAAGCAAGCTTAGGCAAGCCAAAATTAATATATCCTTGCAGGTTTAAATATTAAATATTCTCTAAAACTTCTAAATTTCGAATTATGTGCGTACATGTTTACAAAACAATGAAGCTATGATTATTTTTACCTCAATTACTCAAACATAAAACATTATTCTGAACCGTTAGACCAATACTGTGTCCAAAAAAACTTTAAGAAAATTATAAATTATAGAATTACATTTTTAAAATTTTTTTAAATATTGTGATTGTTCTATAGGAGCTATATGATAAAGTCGACTACTTTTAATCAAAATAAAACCGTAATTGTAAAAATCTAAACCATTAATATATGACCGAACATAATCATTATTTATTATTTTGTAAACAAAAAACGCATGGTCACGGAAAGCTTTTAGAAGTATTTACTACTAAAGCCTTAAAGTTTCAAAATCCGGTTTAATTTCTATTTTTTCAATTTGTATTTAAAACTTGAAGAATAATAGATATTATTTTATAAAGATAACGATTATTTGTTATACCTTTGCAGAGGGTATTATAATTTTAGTCAGATGTTTGCAACGCAGTGAAGGAGACATCTCCGACCCTATAATATATATATATTCTTGATCGGCATCACTAGGCGAGTCGATCTAGCCATGTCCGTCTGTCCGTCTGTTTTTAGTTCTTTGACATATAGTAATGGTAAAATATTTCAGAATTACGGTTTGAATTTCATCAAAATCGGACAACTATATCATAATAGCTCCCATAGAAATAATAAAAATATAGAAATAACTATCTAACAATTAAGCTGCAACTCATCATAGCTTCAATTTTTTTTAACATATACGCAAGTAAATCATAATTTTAATGCTTTCAAAAATATTTAATTCTTGCAATAGCTGCAAGGGTATATGAACTTCGGCTTGCCGAAGTTTGCTTCCTTTCTTGTTGAGTTTTATTTTCGGCTCTACAAATAATGATTATTCTATGAGTTCTATTTTGTGTTTGACAAATAACGCTTGGCTTTTAAGTTTTATTTTTTGATACAAAAAAATATACTTATTCCTTGAGTTTTATTATTTCGACTGAAATAATTGCGAAGGATGGGGCAGAAGGACAGACATTGCTAGATCGACTATCCCAGTGGTGCTGATCTAGAATATATGCACATACTTTATAAGGTCATTGTAAGTTTTCTTATCTATCAGACGTGTATTTCGCCACTTCTCCTTAACATCTTGTTTTCGCTGTGTTCATCTCATCGATTCATCTCAATAATTTGACAATTTGTCAGTTACCCTGAAATTTGGTTGAATTTGGTTGCCTACATTTCGAACTATGTATAAACTTACCTAGAGCTCCTAGCCTGTAGTTGATGGAGACGAAAACCACCGGTTGCTTCATGAAGTAATCGGGACTGTAGATATCCCTGGAGGCCTCGCCCTTCTGGAAGCCACCTCCATATATCCACACGATGACGGGCAGCGGCTTCTCCGACTTCAGGGTTTTCACATAAACATTTAGGTGCAGGCAATCCTCACTGCCCTCCACGATCCCCAAGAGCATGTTCCTCTGCAGGGGCTTCGATCGGTACGTGGTGCAGTTGAGCACTCCCTGCCAAGGTTCCGCCGGCTGGGGAGCCCTGAATCGGAGCTCGCCCACCGGTGGCTTGGCATACGGTATGCCCTCGAAGGCGAAGTAGGGTTCCTCGTCGTACACCGTCTTCCGCTGGAGTCCCCGAACCTGTCCGTACTTGGTGTCCAATGTCACGGTGTGACCTGTGGCCAGCCGGAACTGCTGAATCTTGTGGCCCACCAGCCTGTGGGGGAAATCGGGTGAGATCGGGGGTAAGGGAGTTTGGCTGTCCCGCGCGATAAGGCGGTCAGGAATGATAACCGCAGGCAGTGGGTCGCACCAGGTCCGAAGGTAGCGATTCCCCAACCTTAGCTCTCTACTTTGGTTTTAGGTCGAATGTACTCACTGGGTGCCCATTTTGAGCAACTTTGGCCATCCCACTTGCACTTCCATAACCTTTTGTTTTGGGTGTAGTTGCTGGCGATTCTAATGCGACTAAAGTTTGTGGTGGTGAAATTCAAGGAATTTATTTCCAGGCGATGCGGGATTATTGGATCTATCGAAGTTTGCCGCGCGACTGATCGCTAATGTTTGCCGGCACCCAACTAAATCAGGAGCAATGCCGGCAGCGTTCGCAAATGAACAACACCAATACCGAGGCACTATCTTTTGTTGCCACGAACACACCCGGTCAACTCAATCAAACTCTTTTGGGGCTGTCCATATATAACATAATCACCTAGGGGTGTATAATAACTTTTGATTACCAGGGTCCAAAATCATTTAAAACGAGACAGCTTCTTTAATAAAAACATCAGAAATTAATTTTGTTTATTTGAATATTTATTTAGAATTTGTTTGTAACATTTTGAAAAAAATGGAAAATAGTTGATGCATTATCACCAGAGATTGAAACTAGTTGTCTTGACCGCAACATTATGTTTCGGTAAGTGTATGAGTGCTTGCGTATTTATAATCCGTGTCGTTTTTTCTTTACTCGTTTTATACCCCTTACTCGTAGAGTAAAAGGGTATATTGTAATCGTTGAAAAGTATGTAACAAGGAGAAGGAAGCGTTTCCGACCCTATAAATGTATTCATGACTAGGATCAACAGACGATTCGATTTAACCAAGTCCGTCTGTCTGCCTGTCCGTCTGTCCGTCCGTATGAACGTCGAGATCTCGGAAACTATAGAAGGTATTTGGGATTTGAAATGCAGATTCTAGTTATTCTTACGCAGCGAGTGCTTTTTTCAAAACGGAGCCACGACTACTCTAACGCCCACTAATGGCAAAAGTCTGTCACGACACTGCGAGACATATAGAGTGCTGCACGATCTTAACTTCTAGTGTTGGGGATGCAGTTCGACAGTTTGGGAATATTTAGTTTGGAATTTGTGAGCTGAGTAACGAGTATCTAATAGTCGAGGAACTCGGCTATAGCGTTCATTCTAGATTGTCATCGAGTTGTGTGAAATGCGCAACAAAAATAGAGCTGCTTTCAACAGTGCTTTTACATCACAACATTAAAAAGCTTTTCTTTATTTAAAAAATACGAATGTATGTACATTAGGGTGGACGCTAGTTGTTTAAGTATTAGAAGGCCGTCGATTGACCGTTTACATAAAGGTGCACCTTAACCAACAATTGGTCAGCAATAACTTTCATGTGCGTAGCTTTTAACGGAGATAATACCTTTAATTTTAAAAGCAGAATATTTAATTATATTATATATGAAATATGCCACACTTAGAACTTTTATTGCCATACTCATGCATTCGCGCTAATTTTTAGCGATGATTCATTGATGAAAAGGTGAATGCACAATGGGAAAAAACAGATAAAATAATTAAATTTGTGTAATGCTTATTTTATTTTTAAATAATAATTTTTTTTTATGATCTGACTCTTCTACTATAAGAAAACGAAATAATCAAGTTACCAGCTCTCTCTCTAATTTTCTTTTTCGGGAAATAAATACAAATATTCCACTCTTCCTTCTACTAGGAGGAAAAGTGATACGACTGGCGAAATTCATACACTTTGAAGGCTTAGCGATAGTACCCCTACAATTGCCTGCCTTTCGATTTCTTTAGATTGACCGCTACTGTGACTGTTAAAGTTTAATGCTGTTAGGGGCAGAAAGCTTTTTGCTGTAGATCACTGCACACTGGCAGTCTTTCTGTAAACGCCAAGGCCAGCTGATAGCAACAATGGATATTGCTCAAATACAACAACCATGGCATTAACCCTAAACTTTGACGCACACTGAGGCAGCGAAAGCTACAAAAGCAAACTGGAAATCAGCTGTCTCAGAGAATTTGTTGTTTCACTTGTATTTTGTTTTGCGCGATAAAAAGGGCCATAAATGCTTTTCCACCGCTAGATAAAATTGTTCGTGAGTGGCGCTGGCAGTTAACTGTGGATCATGGAGAGGTGAGGTCGAAAAAGTGCCCTGTTTTGGGCGAGAACTAACTTTGGCGGACTTGCACTTGCAGCTTGCAGGTGAACACGACCAGCGGCCCGGTGCGCGGAAAGCTGCGCAGAGGTGTCTACGGCGACGAGTACGTCAGCTTCGAGCGGATTCCGTACGGCCAACCGCCGGTGGGTCCGCTCCGCTTCAGGGCACCGCTGCCCGTGGAACCCTGGTCCCAAGTGCTGGACTGCAGCACGCCGGGCAAGAAGCCACTCCAGTTCAACCAGTTTACCAAGCAGCTGGAGGGCGTCGAGGACTGTCTGTACCTTAATGTCTACGCCAAGGAGGTACCACTGTCGTTGCATTAAGTACTCTACCCCAAGCTATCTATACATTCAAGGGGCAATAGGTTCATAAGACACCCAAAGAAGTAACTTAAGGTAACATGTGACACGTGAATTGCAGTCTATAATCTTGAGTTCTGAAACAAGCAACTCTTGTCGCTTTAATTTACTTCTTTTAAATTTACTTAAAATATCTACTTGGCTGTTTCAGAAGCAATATTTTCTAGTCACTCGCTGTTTCCACCCATTGCGGTCCGGGTAATGAAAATTTTATTCATTTAGATAAGTTTACCTACATACAAGCTAGTCGGTTTTTCAGAGGGCAAAGTTCTATATCAGTGCCTAAGCTTTAACAAGCTATAGAAGGGATTTGTTCAGATAAGACTTCTTAAAGATAACTACAGTCTGGATTGCCTAAAAACAGCAACTAATTAAAACTTTGAATTTTGTTACAATAAGCAGTCGACATTTATTTTTATAGCTGAAAATCTAGTTCCCTCAAGGTGGAAGTTCCATTGCAAAGAGACATTGTAATACAAATGCCACATAATGCATAGATAATCCTTTGTAAATATATTAGTTTCTGAAGAAATGGAATAATTTAAACTTATGGACAACTGATGAGTTAGGTTTTAAAAATTTATATTTATATTTCAGTATATATTGAGTGTGTGATGCTACGAGTGTAATCCAATTCCATCAATGCGTCAGTCATAAAATATTCACAAATAACTTAATATACATATTTTTTATTAAATTATTATATTATCACTAAAATTTATTTAACTGGCAAAATTTGTTGAATAGTTTTATATGAATTTTTTTTTTAATGTTTTGATTTTACTCTGTTAGGTTTTTAAAATGTAATTATATATTTCTGTATATATTTAGTGTGTGATGCTACAAGTGTAATCCATCAATTTCATCAATGCATCAGTCACAAAAGATTCACAACAAATAACTTAATATACATATTTTTTATTAAATTATTATATTACCACTAAAATTTATTTAACTGGCAAAATTTGTTGAATAGTTTTATTTGAATTTTTTTTTTAATGTTTTGATTTTAATCTAAGTGTTTGATGTGTATTGTTTATATCATGTTGTGAGAAAAGGTATGCTCGTTCCAGCTTTCAAAACTAATTCATTTTTTATATTGGTAGCTCAACTCGGCGAGTCCTTTGCCGCTGATCGTCTACTTTTTTGGCGGTGGCTTCGAGAAGGGCGACCCCACGAGGGAGCTGCACAGTCCTGACTACTTTATGATGCGCGACGTGGTCGTGGTGACGGTTTCCTATCGCGTCGGTGCCCTCGGATTTCTGAGCCTGCACGATCCCGCTGTGGGAGTGCCCGGAAACGCTGGTCTCAAGGATCAACTGCTGGCGCTGCAGTGGATCAAGGGAAATGCGGCTAATTTCAATGCGGATCCCAACAATGTGACCGCGTTTGGGGAAAGTGCCGGGGCCGCCTCAGTTCACTACCTGATGCTCAATCCCAGGGCAGAGGGTCTGTTCCACAAGGCCATCATGCAATCGGGCAATGTGCTCTGCTCCTGGGCCTTCTGTTCCACGGAGAACCTGCCCCATCGGTTGGCTGTCAACTTGGGAATGGATAGTGGCGGGCATGTGACCGACGCCATGGTCTTGGACTACCTGCAGAGTGTGCCGGGGGAGAAACTCGTGCGACCGTATCTCCTCACCGAAGCGGAGCTCCTGGACGACTGCTTCTTCCAGTTCGGACCCATGGTGGAGCCCTATAACACAGAGCACTGTGTGCTGCCCAAGCGGCCGCAGGATCTGATGCACACGGCCTGGGGAAACAGGATACCGGTCCTGATGAGCGGCACTTCCTTCGAGGGACTGCTGATGTACCCCCGGGTGCAAATGGCTCCGTTTTTGCTGACCAGCCTCAAGAAGGAACCGGAGCACATGCTGCCGCTGAATGTGAAGCGGAATCTGCCCCAGGCACTGGCCCGACATCAGGGCCAGCAGCTCCAGGAGACCCACTTCGGCGGATGCGACCCCTCGTCCATGTCGCCGGAAACCTTAATCGCATATTGCGAGGTGGGTAGTTTCATTGCGCACATGGTTCATATACACATAGCTATTTAAATGTATTAACAGTTTATATTTTAAAGTTCATATTTATGAACGGCACTTTCTAAACTAATTTAATCCCTTCTGCATTTCCTGCTTAAAAGCTTTCGGTGATTGCTTGAACTAACTTTCCAAGATGACGACACACTTAGTCTTGACATTCAAATTGCTTCGAAAAATCTAAACAAAAAACAAAGCAAGCAAGTTTAGGCAAGCCAATGCTGATAGAGCCTTGCAGCTATTACAAAAATTAAATAATCTACAAAAAGTCTATAGAAAGAAGAAACAATTAAAACTTGTCGATGTTCCGATGAATTTTTGATCGTGCCCATGGCAGGTAAATTATATCGTTGTCCGATATTAATACAATTACAACTGCAATTGCTAAATTGTAAACCATGACAATATCTCGAAGTACATTTGTATAAACTATTGATATTTTTGTACAATTGTTTCTAGGAAAGCTTTTTGATATATTCCACGCCAGTTTCGACAAACCTGCAACATAAACCTTTTAGAAAACTTTCAATCAGACAGTTTCAAAACTGGGGGCCTAGAATATATACATAATCAATAGTGTTAAAAAATAGCGTTTGCCCGTTTGCTAATACTTAATCATGTGTGTTGTACTGCGCCCTTAACTGCATAGTTTTATTAATTTATATTATAAGCTAAAGTAAAAATCAAAATTCAAAATGTCATTGTCCGTTTTCAATACAAGTTACATAGCGTTTTAGAATTACTTAATAACTGAAAAATCATAGTGAAGACTTTATCCCACACCTCAGGGGAACAATTCGCCAAAAAAAGAAATCAGAAACATTTTTTTTTAAATTTATCTGTTAAGGTAATGGAGTAACATTAACTGTTGCATTGAATATGCATTTAATAGTATAACTATATTATCAAGGCCTAATTCGCTATGAAGTTCTAATGTCACGCCGGACTAATACAAAATGAATGCATTTTTTCAACTAATGGATTCTTTAACGAAGGCAGTGCCCTACTAACTTTCAAACTTACGATTATCGGCAAGCACCGTCAAAACCACTTAACTTCTTAGATATTAGCTAGATTTTTGTGTCTACCGATGGATATGACCGAAACACACACATAGTGTCCAAAACCTAGGATGTAACAGTATATACATTCACGATTTCTAAATACAATACAATATACCATTTAAGAACACTCCTCATGGGCCATTTATCTTTAAGATAACTCTTTTTCAGTGATATTAATTTAAAACGAGATAAAACAAGAATGTACTGATCGAAGGTTTCATAATTTATTTTAGTACGCCAGCTACAAGGTCTTCTGGTATCCGATCCTGAGAACCCTGAAGTCCCGGCTCAGCAACTCAAAAGCGCCCACCTATCTGTACCGCTTCGACTTCGACTCGCCCACGTTCAATCACCAGCGATTAAAGTACTGCGGCGACAAGTTACGCGGCGTGGCCCACGTCGATGATCACTCTTACCTGTGGTACGGCGACTTCTCCTGGAAGCTGGACAAGCACACGCCCGAGTTCCTGACCATCGAGCGGATGATTGACATGCTGACAAGCTTCGCCAGGACCTCGGATCCGAACTGCAAGCTCATCGAGGACCAGCTTCCGCGAGCCAAGGGATGGAAGCCCCTGGGCAACGACTCCGCTTTGGAGTGCCTCAACATCTCAGAGAACATTAGGCTGATGGAACTGCCGGAGCTGCAGAAGCTCAAAGTCTGGGAGAGTGTCTGCCAATGAAATTAATGTCTTTAGAATTTACAATAATAATTATAATCAAATATTATTTGTTTTGATTAGGGGGTCATTTGGCTACTTAAAGTTTGGGCTTGACCGTCCTACCAGACCATGATGCGAAGTCCTATGAATTCTATAAGTTCAACACTATTGAAGTTATCGTTTCCTAGTAGCTTTATAAATATAATTCGCTCGTCTAAGCTTCCAGATTATTTTAATAATCTATTATTTTGCAATAATATCGTTTTTTATTTTCTGTGTTCTGTGGTATAATCCGTTAACGTTTCATTGGCAAGCAAACTTCTCTGCTTAATTAAATCGAACATTTTAAAAATCGGAAAATGCACTCTTGGTCGTTTGGTAAACACATGCGTAAATATATTACTGATAAAGACATTGACATGAAATTTGGCCCAGATGTCATTAGCAGTCCCGCCAATTCAAGAAAAAAAGAACTAGCCCAAAATGTTAGGCCCGCGAAGCTTTAATTGAAAAATCACCCTCCTTTATATATTTCTTTGGTAAAGCGTTTTCTGTAAAGATCTTCTTGTTCCAAAATGGTCGTAGCTTCAAAATTTGGAGCGTGGCCGCTTGTCCATAAGTGCTGCTTTTTTGTGTATTGGCTATATATAATGTATTAGAATTACGGTTTAACTTTTCTTCAAAATCGGTTGACATAAAACTCTATTGGATGCAAGGGTATATGAACTTCGGCTTGCCGAAGTTTTCTTCCTTTCTTGCGTTTATTTATTTCTACAAAAATCCTTGACCTTGAGCTGGAACAACATTAATTAATAAACAGAAACATTAAAGTAATAAACAATGTTATATGAGAATACTTTAAAGCTTTTGAGATAATATTCTTTTCTGTTTACGGCTTAATATTTTAAAAAATCGGTGAATATTTTTTGTTTAGCAAGAGTCTACTATGGCCTTTCGTCTTTTATTTTGTAGGCAATATATTAAAAGAATTAAGATTTTATAAATCTTCTTTATCAACTTTTTTGAGCCATATCCATCCCAGAAAAAAAGAGCCCTTCAAGATAGCATAAGTTCGGTTTTTCTTTTTTTTCTTTTTGTTTATGTGCAGCAAATTTACCATTGTTCGAGATACGAGAACGATCAGAGTATTTTTAGGTTGATAAGCTCCGGCTATCGGTGGTAATCTTCAGTGTTTGTTAACTCGAGAAGGCAGTATACGCTCGATACTGCGGTTGATCGGAGATGACGGACGACTAGTAAGACATTCAAAGTCAACGCATGTGTCATATATTTTTCAAGAATAAACATTAAATCTTTTAGCACCGAAAGTTCGCCGGTAGTGTGTACTACTCATGGAAAAGTACAAGGAACTCTGCTTAAATCGCTGTACGACGAGCAGTTCTACGCTTTCGATGGCATCCCATATGCTGTTCCTCCGCTCGGAAGTCTGCGCTTCAAGGAACCGCATGACCTGAAGCCTTGGCACGGAGTTCGAGATTGCTCCAAGCCCTTGAACAAGTGCCTACAAGTGAGCTCCTACACCAAGTTGGTGGAGGGTTCCGAGGATTGCCTGTATCTGAATATTTCTGTGAAAACTGTAAGTTAATCGCAGTGTTACACGTTAAAACAATTCGGTTTCACATATTGATAGCTTAGTAAAATGTTATTAACAATTCCTTTATTTGATAGCTGCTCGGCGAACCTATGCCCATCATGGTCTATATTCATGGAGGTGCTTTTAAGGGCGGCGATTCTTCAAGACGAGCTTGGGGTCCTGACTATTTTATGAAGGAAAATGTGGTCTATATAAGCATTGGGCATCGACTAGGGCCTTTGGGTGAGTTATAAAGAAACTGAATAATCTAAAAGGTCGTAAGAAGAGTTCAAACTTGCTCATAAACTAAAATCAGACAGATTAGTGACAACTACATATATAATAAAGTAGTCCGAATTTAACAAACGGATGGGTATAAAACCATCAATTGAGCAAAACCCAATCGCCGTTTCCCAAAGCCTAAAAAATGGTGAAGTTAAAGCAAACTGTAGCAAAAGTACGGTTAGATGAAATTACAAAAGAATATTTGCATATTCAGAAGGGTAAAAGCCAAGGGATACTACAAAATTACTAATTTAAATTCGGAAAATAAGTTTTATAAAAAATTGTTCTCATGAGCATTGTTTTATAGAAAATTAAATGTTATTTTGGAAAAAATATATTTGTTGAATTCTTACGGTTTTGTAATTTTTATGAAGAGGGTATTATTACTACTGAGTTCACAATGGTTCAAATAGGTACGTAATATTGCTAGGAAATAGTGCGTCGTTTAAGAGTTCTTCAGCGTCATAAGCTTCGGACATAATTTACATATAACTAATATCTTCAGCAAGGTTACAAATTAACACATTTTTTTCTACTTGTGTCTGATTTAAGGCTTTCTGAGTTTTGAGGATCCCACACTAGAGGTCCCTGGCAACGCCGGTCTTAAGGACGTAATCCTGGCCCTTCAGTGGATCAAGGCGAATGCGGCCAACTTCAATGGCGACCCGGACAGAATAACGATCTTTGGCCACAGCTCCGGCAGCATGACGGTTCAGCTGCTGCTGGCCAGTCCACGAACAGAAGGACTCTTCCACAAGGCCATCCTTATGGCGGGCTTCTCCATGGAGCTGAATCGTCTGCCTGATATGGAATTCCGCCTGGCCAAACACCTGGGCTACGAGGGAGACAATGTCGACAGCCAGGTCTTGCAGTTTCTCTTGAAGGCAGATCCGCATCAGCTCGCCTCAGCGGACTTTTTCACTCCGGCGGAGAAGAGTCAAGGCCACGTCATGGCCTTTGTTCCCAGCGTAGAGCGATATGCCACCCCAAAGGCAGCTCTCCTATCGGAGCCCGTCGACCTCCAGCGCACTGCATGGAGTAACCGCATTCCCATCATCCTGGGCGCCAACAGTGGAGAGGGTTTGACCAGCATTAATTTCATCAAAACCAACCCTTCTTGGCTGAAGGACTTCCAGCACAACCCCGAGCGGGTGTTGCCGTGGACTCTGAGGAATCGCTGTGATCCCGGACTGCGGCGTCAGTTGGGCCAGGCGCTGATCAACGACTTCTGCCAGGTTCACGGACACGAGCTGACTGCCAGCCACACGGACGCATTTGCGGATCTCTTCACCCATAGCATGGTGCATGCCCTGGACCGACTAATCCGAGCCAGGTTGTCCTATGGCCAGGCACCCACTTACCTGTACCGCTTCGACTTCGACTCGCCGGACTTCAACTTCTACCGGATCCGCTTCATGGGGAAGGAGCAACGGGGAGTCGGCCATGTGGACGAGCTGGGATACATTTTTGTGATCCCAGCCACCTTTAAATTGAACCCATCTCGGCCCGAGTTCACCGCCATCCGCCGCATGGTGGCCATGCTCGTGCAGTTCGCCGCCACCTCGGATCCCAATGCACCACTCACCAAGTCTCTGGTGGATTGGAAGCCCGTCTCCCGGTTCGGCCAAAGAATGGTGCTCAACATCAGCGAGGAACTAAGGTTCATTCCCCAACCAGAGAGGCCTAAGCTAAAGTTCTTCGATCGGCTCTTCGAAATGGCTGGAGTGCCTCTATTTTAAGAGATTCCTTCTAATTGTTAAATAAAAGAAAATCAATAAAAAATACCTGAAAACGTAGCCTGTGCAGTACATTTGATGGCGGTGCAAAATGATTTTTTTTTAACAAAATTCAAATATACAAATTTGGAATACTAAAAGATAGTAATTTTTAAAAATGTAAGCTTTTTTCACAACCTCTTCTGTGTTTATTGAATTTTTGTGGCAAAACAAATACTTTTTTGTTGCCTTTGTGAAAAAGCCTTTGACAAATCACTCGTTTAGTTGATAAGCCGTCGCCACAATTAGCGCCAGAATGGTGCAAAAAGCTCGATCACCAGACACGTTTTTTTAGCCACCACTGTGAGTGCTCGAACTTTTAGTTGCTTTGGCTTTGACTTTGCAAATTGATGGCTTTCTATTCAGTTTACGGACAACACGCGCTGCAAACGAACGATGTCGGAGAGGTGAGTTAAATAAACCGGGAAACCCCATGATTGTTATTAAATTAGCTTGGATGAAGCAGCCAGGAGACTTGCGAACTTACCCTGCCCCTGGGCCAAATTAAGGGCATCAAGCGGCGTAGTCTCTATGATGACAGCTACTTCAGCTTCGAGAAGATCCCCTTTGCGAAGCCTCCAGTGGGAGAGCTGCGATTCAAGGCCCCGGTGCCGGCAGAGGCGTGGCCCGGGGTTTTGGATTGCACCCACTTTGCGGAGAAGCCAACCCAGAGGAGTTTGTTGACGGGCGTTATTGAAGGTACCGAGGACTGCCTGTACCTGAACGTCTACTCCAAGCAGGTTAGTATGATGGAAGTGAGCCATAAACAGCTCATTGAAGAACAAATCGGGACGCAAAATGAGGTAAAACTTAAACAAGATTAAAGCATTTGATTTAGTTAATTTAAAGTACATTTAAAATGTCAAGCTAAATTTCTTAAAACATAATGCTTAGTGCCTGAATGTTCTGAAACCATAACTGCTGGTCATTATAACACTGATAACTGATTTGCTTTTCAAGTTGAAGACTGACAAGCCGTTGCCCTTAATGGTATACATATATAAAACAAGATTAAAGCATTTAATTAAGCATTTGTTAATATAATAAGGAATTCAAAATGTCAAGCTACATTTCTTAAAACTTAAAACTTAGTGCCTGAGTGTTATGACACCATAACTGCTGGTCATGTACCCCATCGATTATGACACTGATAGCTGATTTGTTTTTGCAGTTAAAGACTGACAAGCCGTTGCCGGTATTGGTCTACATTTATGGCGGGGCCTTCACAATCGGTGAGGCAACGCGCGATATCTACGGCCCGGACTACTTCATGGCCAAAGATGTGGTCCTGGTAACTCTCAATTATCGCGTTGATTGTTTAGGTGAGTCTGCAGAAATTGATAGCGGGTATCTTATCTATAATTGTCAAGCGATTAGGATGGTGCCTTATCTTGCGCTATCTGTGGGGTCAACATTTCAGTTCTAATTCTAATTTTGTTGTTAGATGCTACACTTGTTTGAAATGTTTGGTTAAAAAAATTTTAATGATATTTTTACTTTTTTATGGCAAGGTTTAAAGATTAACATTTTTTTATTGAGAAATGACAGGTGCAAAGTGACATTTTTCGCGCTTTTTATAACAAAATTTTAAAAAACTCGTTTATATTAAAGTAACATAAGCATCTAAATATTTTTAAATATAATTGTTTCACTGTTGAGGACCCAAGATTTTGTTTTAGTGGGTTTTGGAAATCTTTCTGGTTTTTTGGTCCTGGAAAAGTGAACTTAAGGAATAACATGTTGCTTTGTGGTTTTCCTCCACCCAGGATTTCTCTCCCTCGAGGATCCTAGTCTGGAGATACCCGGAAATGCAGGCCTCAAGGATCAGGTGCTGGCTATTAAGTGGGTCAAGCAGTACATTTCCAACTTCAACGGCGATGATAACAACATTACGCTTTTCGGAGAGAGTGCCGGCGGGTGTTCCACCCACTTTATGATGTGCTCGGAACAGACCAGGGGACTGTTCCACAAGGCCATTCCCATGTCGGGCACTGTGCACAACTACTGGTCCAATAACCCACGTGAGGACTTCGCCTTCCGCCTGGCCCAGCAGTACGGCTTCACTGGCGAAAATGTAGACGCCAAGGTTTTGGAGCACCTTCGAGGAGTTCCTGCCAGAGACTTGGTAAACCACAATCTAATAACACCCGAGCACCGACGGAACGGCCTGCTCTTCGCCTTCGGTCCCACCGTGGAGTCGTTTGTGGGTGCGGACTGCGTGCTGCCCAAGCCGCCTGTGGAAATGGCCCGAGATGCGTGGTCAAACAGTTTGCCCATTATGCTGGGCGGAACCTCATTCGAGGGTCTCTTCATGTACCCAGGTGTATCCGCCAATCTCAAGGCATTGGATAGCCTGAACCAGGACCCCACGAGGATGGTGCCGCGGGATGTGCGGGACGTCAGCAGCGAGCAGGATAATCTTGAGTTCAGCAAGCGTCTGATCAAAGCCTACTTCGGAGATTCCCCACCCAGTTCAGAGCGCTTCATGAACATGCTCGACGTGAGTAGATAGAAGTTAACGATACTCCAAAGCCTTACTCTATACCCATTCACATAATATCTATCCATAGCTATTCAAACATAAAAATGTTGTTCTTGATTTTTTTTGTAATTGTATCGTATTTTATTGAAGTAGGTTAATTATAAGGGAAATTAATTTGTGCACTGGTAAAAAAAAACCGAGAAAATCCAACCATGTGAGTAGGTAGAAGTTAAAGATACTCTTTACTCTATACCCATTCATATAATATCTATCCATAGATATTCAAACATAAACATGTTTTTTGTTTTGTAATTGTATCGTATTTAATTGAAGTAGGTTAATTATAAGGGAAATTTGTTTTATCAACCATTTCTACTAAATTTAATTATTTTGCGCTTTTCATCCATTGCGTTTTTTAGTTATAAAACGAAAATATTAATATGCCTTAATATTTTATTTGACTGTTCTTCGAGTTGGTTTTAATAACTGACTTTAATTTTAATATAAATTTGAATCAAAATATGCGTTGTATTTAAGATAATATACAAGCTTTTGCACGTTTTCCACATTAATTAAAGTATTTTAATATTAAATCTTGCCGTTAAATATATATAAGATTTTTAATTCAAAAGTCAGATCTTTTTTTTTACTATTCCTTTTTTTTATCAATGCTCTTCACCTAAAAAGACATATGTGTACCAATTTCAGACTATGTTTTCTGATTAATTGTAGTCTCTGGCCCATAGTCCATAATAGCTGCTAATCTAATCGAACTCCCTTTTTCCTTAGTTCTACTCCTATAAGGTCTTCTGGCACGGCTTCAATCGCACTTTGAACGCAAGACTTGCATATGCAAAGGCACCCACGTATTTCTACCGCTTCGACTTCGACTCTCCGAACTTTAACTTTTACCGGAAAAAGTTCTGCGGGGACAACATAAAGAGTGGTGTGGCCCATGCCGACGATCTGAGCTATTTGTTCAGGAACGCACTATCTTGGAAACTGGAAAAGTCATCTGCTGAATACCGCACCATCGAACGGATGGTTGGTATTTGGACGGCGTTCGCAGCGACCTCGAATCCCAACTGCCCGGAAATTGGTCAAGTGGACTGGAAGCCATCGACAAAGGATGATCCCAAGCCAGTGCTCAACATCAGTAACGAAGTGAAGATTATTGATTTGCCCGAGTATGAAAAACTTCAGATTTGGGATGGAATCTACAAACCGGATCAATTAATCTAAGTCGAACATATAGTTAATTGCTTAATGCCATAATAACAGATTCTAAGAGGGATACTATTTTAAAGCATTGTTGTGTTAAATTACCTATTAAAACAAAGTAAAATATTTTTTATTCCTGAAACTAGGCATTCCCGCAATAAAACAGATTTCTTTATTTAAATAAATACATCGTTTTACATCTTTCAGTAGAAAATTAGATTATAGTTGTAAACCTATGTAAAATCGTCATATAAATTTGCTGAAGAGGATATTTTTTTATTATTACCAGCTATAATTTTAAAGATTGTTGTATTCTTTTTTTTGAGTATTTAGCTTACCAAACTCCTTTAAAGTGAAACAGTCCACATTACCACATTACTTCTTCGTCCTAAAGAAGCAAACAAAAATCTGAAAACAATCGTTTTACAATCGTATACAAACGTGGATAAAAAACGTGTTTTATCCATTCGTGCAATTATATTATCAGCCTTTAATATAATGAGAAAACTTTGGACCGTGGTAAGCATGTGTGTCAAGCATCAGGTGAAATTCGTACGGCTCGAAACGGGATTCTTACGGCAGCTTCCAGCGCTGTTTACCAAGTTGTTTCTCTGGGAAAACCTATGGGAAACTTTACCCTTTTAATCTGTTAATGTTTCAGGGAAATGCCATTTGAAGTCCTTTCTTGGAATCAGTCTTCAGCAAGCGAACTGGGAGGATTCTTGCGTAGGACAGGTAGCACCTCTTCTAGGAATCGAGCATTAAAATATTGCTGAAACGTACTCCTAAGTAGCCCTTGTGGGCGATGTTCTGCATCTGCATACCTGTGGAGTGAAAATCACGAAGCACTTAGTTAATAACGGACTTTGCCAACTAGCTGCAAAAACAGCTCAATTATCTGTAAACTCGATAAGCAAATCAATGAACATTCGTTGTTAGGATACATAAAAGAGGTTTACATAGAAAATAGTATACATACATAAAATATATTACCACCCTTAAAAACCAGAAATGTTAGATATTCAGTTTAAACTAACAATTAATAAACAAAATGTACATATGATTAATATACGTTTAATATAGATTAAGTTTTCCCCCAAAAACGTGGATAATAAAATAACTATCTGGGTTTCTTGTGTTTTTTTTATTTTTTTTTTTTTGCTCGCTTTACAGAGTCGACTGAAAATTATGTTCGCGAATGGGAGCATATGAAAACAAACAGCGTTTAGGGGGATGCGCCTATCCACTCCTAGTACTCCTCAGCACCCTCGCCCTCGCCGTCGCCAGAGTCCATGCCGACCTCCTCGTAATCCTTCTCCAGGGCGGCCAGATCCTCGCGAGCCTCGGAGAACTCGCCCTCCTCCATGCCCTCGCCGACGTACCAGTGGACAAAGGCGCGCTTGGCGTACATCAGATCGAACTTGTGATCCAGACGGGCCCAGGCCTCGGCAATGGCCGTGGTGTTGGACAGCATGCACACGGCACGCTGCACCTTGGCCAGATCTCCGCCAGGCACCACAGTGGGCGGCTGGTAGTTGATGCCCACCTTGAAGCCAGTGGGGCACCAGTCCACGAACTGGATGGTGCGCTTGGTCTTGATGGTGGCAATGGCGGCGTTCACGTCCTTGGGGACCACATCACCGCGGTATAGCATGCAGCAGGCCATGTACTTGCCGTGCCGCGGATCCACCTTGACCATCTGGTTGGCCGGCTCGAAACAGGCGTTGGTGATCTCGGCCACCGACAGCTGCTCGTGGTAGGCCTTCTCGGCGGAGATGACCGGGGCGTAGGTGACCAGCGGGAAGTGGATACGCGGGTAGGGCACCAAATTGGTCTGGAACTCGGTGAGGTCCACGTTGAGGGCACCATCGAATCGCAGCGAGGCGGTGATCGAGGACACAATCTGTCCAATCAGACGGTTCAGGTTGGTGTACGTGGGCCGCTCGATGTCCAGGTTGCGGCGACAGATATCGTAGATGGCCTCGTTGTCGACCATGAAGGCGCAGTCCGAGTGCTCCAGGGTGGTGTGCGTGGTCAGGATCGAGTTGTAGGGCTCCACCACGGCGGTGGACACTTGCGGGGCCGGGTAAATGGCGAACTCCAGCTTGGACTTCTTGCCGTAGTCCACGGAGAGTCGCTCCATCAGCAGCGAGGTGAAGCCGGAGCCGGTGCCGCCGCCGAACGAGTGGAAGATCAGGAATCCCTGCAGGCCGGTGCACTGGTCGGCCAGCTTGCGTATCCTGTCCAGCACCAAATCGACGATCTCCTTGCCAATGGTGTAGTGCCCGCGGGCGTAGTTGTTGGCCGCGTCCTCCTTGCCAGTGATCAGTTGCTCCGGATGGAACAGCTGGCGGTAGGTGCCGGTCCGCACCTCGTCCACCACGGTGGGCTCCAGGTCCACGAAGACGGCGCGGGGCACATGCTTGCCGGCTCCAGTCTCACTGAAGAAGGTGTTGAACGAGTCATCGCCACCGCCCACGGTCTTGTCGGAGGGCATCTGGCCATCGGGCTGGATGCCGTGCTCCAGGCAGTAGAGCTCCCAGCAGGCGTTGCCTATCTGGACGCCCGCCTGGCCCACGTGGATGGAGATGCATTCACGCATATTGATTTTTAACGGCTGGCTTCCGATACTAGGTTTCTCACACGCGACTACGGAAATTCACTAAAAGTGTGGAGCTACGATTTGGCGTCTGACTCGGCGAGCGTATACGTTGGAATGCCCGACTACGGGTGGGGATAGACGCAAATAGCACGGGGCTCTGGGCTCCGGACTTCACAGCAAACTTCACAAACTCGGTCGGAGATTATTAGATAATACACGCGTTCACCAATCGATTTTGCTCTGGCGGCAAGGAAAAGCTCTGTCAGGCTTGTTTTTGGTAAGTTTGTTCGAATTCGGCTTGAGTTTGAGACTGCTTTCTACACCACATTGCTAGCTCTTGGCCAAAATTGATTTACCATCGGCAGGAGTGCTGGGATGCGACTATATTGGCGGTATTTACCCAATTTAAATATCTGTAAAATTGGCCTCAACACAAACACGCTTGTTCTGTAGGTTTAGTGTGGCCGTTGCGCGTTCGCTCAAATATACCGCCTGGCCTGCACAAAATACCAAAACATTGCTGGCTTTAGAAATTGCAACAAAATTAGGGAACGTAAATATGAATTATTAATTTGATTGAACAAAATAACATCTTAATGTTTATTATTGTTTTGAGCGAAAATAAATTACTCAAGACATAGTTAATATATTTTGGGCGGATAAGGGATAACGTATTTGCTTAGCATTGTAATAGCCTGATTCCATTGCCGCATTACTTTTAAATTGACTTTTTAAAATCAATTGGCGCTTAGCATTTAGCTAATGTTACTCCAAAAAGTGAGGGGCACGAACAGCTGATCTGGGTTTGTTTACTTTTGAATTGTATAAGCGACTGGATGAAATTTCACCTAAAAATATTTCAAAATTGCTGAAGAGCCAGAGTGGTCGTTCCTTCCTACTTAAATTGAAAAGGCAACACTGGCCCCAACATGAAACTAGTTTCCAAATATATGCAAATTAAGAAGTTTAGACAGACGTTAATAAATACCTTTGTTCGTCTTTCTGCTTTTCCTTTTTCTGGGCATTTTCCTCGAATTCAAACAAAAGCTAAGACAAAAAAAACTGGAACAACTTTTTGGCTCGTTCCCCGAATTTCTGAAGAAAATTATTAGTATATTATAAATAATATATAACTATATCAAATATATATATTAATAAAAGATAACTTAATAATTAATATAAATAAAATGTTCCTGAACAGGCACGCAATAATTCAGACCCACAATAAGCGTCCGTCTTTTTTTAGTATTTCCAGTGCGCCGCAATTTTCGGTATTGTGCAGTACTGCGCAGCTATCGATACATTTCGCGCACTTATCGATTAAGCTACCGCGAAAATTGAACACTGAAATTTAGTATTGGCCCTTCCAATATTTTAAGATCTTGGTAGGCAAGTACAGAAACGATAAATAATTTGGTGTGAGTCCTAGCAGTTCACGCCATTTACGTTGCTGTGTATAAGTCATAAGATTGAAATGTTTTTTGAATCTTGCCTAATATTATGGACTGCTCTAATTTTTATACAACGATCTGAAAACACGTAAGTTGAAGACGTAGATAATGAGTTTGTTTTTTTCACTTGTGCCATACCTTTGGGTATTCCTTATCTTCATATTTGGGGTATTAATGCAGTACAATTAAAACATAAATATAATTGAAATTCGATAAAAAGCTCGGAGGTGAAAGTCCTTTAAAACTATTCTTAAACTTTCCCGAATTCAGCTATTGGTTGAATTGGTTGAAAGTTGTATTTCCTGCCCATCTCGTTGGCCGTCGAAATACTACTCAGCTCTAAAAACTTTAAAAATTATGTACTCTCAGCCCATTACCCCAATCCGTAACTGAAGAAAATAAATCCGAAAAAATGAATTCCGTGACTTTGAAGAAAACTGAGGACTCCAGTCGGCTGTTTGTGGTGCTGAAGCACCTGCTGCTGTGGCGCAACTTCCGAATGACGCTGATCGTCTTCACGAGCGTGCTGCTCCTTTTGCTGGATGTGATGGCCCACTCGGTGATCAGTGTGGTTAGCATGGCAGGCATCACTGTACTCCTTGCGGCCATTGCTCATCGCTGCTACTTGCAGTTCTGGAGGTCCTGGAAAAGAGATGGCAGCAAGGAGCAGATTCCACGATGGTACCCTCAGGTGACTATCGATATTCCCCGGGAGGAGACTATGCGACTGGCCGGAATGGCGGTGCTTCATTTAAACACGATCTTAAATCGTCTGATGGGATTGTTTCTTGTGGAGAAGTGGGAGGACACCTTAAAGTTTCTGGTATTGCTCTGCGGCATCAATTTGCTGGGCGACTGTTTCAACGGCTTGACATTGCTGCTTTGTGGTAGGTGGATACTTTTAAAATTATCTCCTTGTGTTTAGGAGGCTCATTTATATCACTATGCAACACAGACCTGCTAACCTAAAAATCCATTAAAATATGTACTCTTTAGAGATTTGAACAAAACAAATTCGGCGCAGAAGAGAGTTGAACTAATGATCATTTTAATATTTTTGTTAAAATTATCAATACTATATATTATAATGGTTTTTTCTTGCAAGTCTTTCATAACAAAACAAAACTAATGTATCATTTGCTTTATTATTTAGGACACGTCCTTGTTTTCACCCTACCAAAACTGTACGAGTGGTACAAGCCATTAATTGATGCCCAGGTCCGAAAATTCCGTAAGTGCAAGCAGCTAGAGAAGAAGACTGTATCCGAAACTACGACTGAAAAAACGGACAATATTCAGGAAGAATATCCGAAGGAAGTGCCTTTTGAAGGCCAGGAGTCCAGTGATGGCAATATACTGTATCTGCTGGAGGAGGAGCACCGCAAGGGATGTCGTTGCTGCGATTGCGAGCTTCAGGATTTGCCCATCAAGGCACACCAACTGTAATCATTTAATAGTTTCCTTTGATGTTTGTGTTCAAAATTTGTTTTGTGACTTATATTATATGTTTATTTCCCACTCAGTTGACATTCGTATATGCTTCATTTCTCGACCTAGTTCGTAAAATTTTAGAAAGGGGAGCTGGGATCGAGTTTGCCGTCCGTCTCAGGTCATTCGATTATGACATGTGGAAACTCTACCAGCCGAGTAGACGAGCTGGGATCAAATGCTTCCGATTTATCAACCCGCGTTGTGGCAACAGCATCAGGCGAATAGCATGCCCATCGGATGACCAGGAGGACTTCAGGGTCGTTGAGCTGTCGGTGGGAAGTGTACGGGGTCGTCGGCAGAGCGGTATCTATGGCGACACCTTCTTCAGTTTCGAGGGAATTCCCTTCGCCAAGCCCCCGCTGGGAGAACTTCGGTTCTTGGCACCTCGTCCGGCGGATCCATGGAACACAGAGCTCGATGCCCGGCAAGAGAGGTCGATTCCTCTGCAGGTGGATAGGCAGACAGGACAGGTCATTGGCAGCGAGGATTGCCTGTACCTAAACGTGTACACCAAGCATGTAAGTAATCGTTACACATCAAATTCCATACACATCAAACGTGGTAAGAAAGCCGTGACTTTTGTACCTACGACTACAAAAATATTCACCGAACAGTCTTTCCTATTTCGAGTGGCGTACTTTGCCTACAATCTCGCCTTTACATATTTTTACTTAGAACGCGCCGAATAAGAACACTTTTGAGAAAGGTATTAATAGTAAATATCAATTATTTCACTTTTGACTGGACTGGACTGGAAACGACCAACACAGATTCAAGAAAATATGCAAAGAATTTTGTAAATTTATTATTCTGATATGCATATATATGTATATCAGCAAATCACCTACATTAGTACTATTAACCTTACGCCTCGGCAGTCACGAAACCAAACCCACAATTTCTTTTAGAAAAACACAACTTGACAGAGTGTTTTGGGATTACATAATGCAAAATAAATATTTGTTTGTTGAAAATCCCTCTCACGACATATTATAAACCACTTTGGGCCTGCTGCGGCTCACCCACCTGCTCATCGTCTCTTTATTTTTCTTAAATTAACTATTGAAGAACTAGTCCAACAGTCAGTCAGATGCTTTAACTGACCAACGTTCGAAAGGCTTATTAAATTGCAAACCATTTTGTACATATTGTAGTTCCAGTTGCAAATTGTTTTTCTAATAAAAGTGAAATTATATATAATTGAAGCTGTTAAAGCAAGAGAATCATAATCGTTCAAAACTTATTCAAAAACAAAAATCTGGACAGGTTTTTAAAAATTGAAGGGTTTCACCCGTTGTGGGTACTTTAATCAAATAGTTTTTTTAGTATGTATTTTTAATGTATTAAACAGCTTAGGATAGCTATATTCAAAACGCCTTTAGTGCCCAAAAGATGGCGATTGCAAGTCTTTTGTTGGCCGTGCAAAAAGAGCTGTATGTGCGCCATCTGCTGGACAAGAAGAAAAGCACATAAGTGATGACATATTTATTTAAAAACTGGTAGACAAAGCATCGTGTATCTGCTGATCGGAGCAGCTTCTTCTTGATTAGATTAAGCTAAACAAATCTAAAAAAGGGTTACTCCAGCTCTTTCGAACAAGTGATCGTAAAACCTAAGCTTGGGCGTCTCTGGCAGTGGAATAAACTTCAGTTCCTCGCTGATGTTGAGCACCATACGAGTTCCAGATCGATTGACAGGCTTCCAATCTACCAACGGCTTAGTCAGCGGAGAGTTGGGATCCGAGGTGGCGGCAAAGTGCACCAGCATTGACACCATTCTACAAATCACGGTGAACTCCGGGCGTGATTCATCCAATTTAAAAGTAGCCGGAAGTACATAGATGTAGCCTAGCTCGTCCACATGTGCAACGCCGCGCTGCTCCTTTCCAAAGAATCGAATCCGGTAAAAGTTAAAGTCTGGGGAATCGAAATCAAACCTGTAAAAATAAGTTGGTGCCCGGCTGTAAGCCGTTCTGGACCGCACTAATCGATCAAGCGAATGGAAAGCGTTGTGGGTAAATATTTCTGTTAAGGCATCGAAATGCTCAGTGCTCAGTTGTTCGCCATGCGCATTGCAGAAACACTCCAACAGTTCCCGACCCAATTCACTCTGCAGGTCGGGACCGCACCAACGCTTGAGGGTCCAGGGAAGCACGCGTTCCGGATATTCCTGGAACAACTTAAGGACCTTGGGATCGGTCCTCCCACCGATCATGTCAAGTAATCCTTCATTACTATTAGCGCCAAGTATGATAGGAATGCGGTTGCTCCAGCTGTTGCGCATCAGTTCCTTGGGATTCGCCAGAAGAACAGCGTTGGAAGTGGGATACCACTCTACGCTAGGTGCAAAGGCAATAGAAAGACCTTTACCCTTCTCCGCCGGACTGAAAAGGTCCGTTGAGATGAGCTGATGCGGATCTGCCTTCAAGAGGAACTCCAAAACCTGACTATCAACGTTATCTCCCTCGAATCCCAAGTGTTTGGCCAGGCGATATTCCATATGAGGCAGGCCGTTCAGCTCCATGGAAAAGCCGGCCATTAGGATGGCCTTGTGGAAGAGTCCTTCCGCTTGTGGACTGGCCAACAGCATCTGAACGATCATACTACCAGAACTGTGGCCAAAGATGGTAATCCTATCAGGGTCCCCGTTGAAATTGGCTGCGTTCGCTTTTATCCAACGTAGAGCCATGATTATATCCTTAAGGCCTGCGTTTCCAGGAATCCCCAGTGAGGGATCTTTAAAACTGAGGAACCCTGAAATATAGGTTTAAGAATTATAGACAAAATGTCTAAAAAAATAGTATTTTTAGGCGCAGGGCTTCAGTAAAAGATATGGAGATCATTATATTATCAAACAAAAACACATCTTGACGAGGTAAAATTGACGTGACGATCGCACCTTCAACTCCAAGCATTTCTGATATCATATTTTGTGACGACTAGTTTTTATTTTACCAAAGAAAAAATACTTTGTTTTTTTTTTCAATTTGTTTTGTAATCGGCACGCTGCTTTGAAATGGTTAAGTAACAAGGCTATCGTCACAAAATGCGATATCAGAAGTTTTTGTTTTTTTAATTCAGTCACAAGTTTTAAACGCGGTGAAGGAGGCATTCCGACATTTTAAAGTATATATATTCCTGATCAGCATCACTAGAAAACTCTATCTAGTCACCTTGCCGTTTCTAACCAAACTATAAGTTTTCTAAAAAGTATTATTTCTATTGCAGATAGAGGACATTTCAAAGAGAAAAAAAAAATTAAAACTGTTCTTAAATTTGTATTAAATACTATACTGGTAAAATATGATATATCATATTATAAAGCTCCCATAGGGACAATCGCAAAAATATATGTAATATATTAACAATATCATATAGCTGCAATGGGAACGATCGAAAAATTCATCGGAAAATCATTCACCGCTTCGTTGTTATAAGGAACATTACAATTGTTACTTAAAATATTTAGTTAGTAAAGCTAAATAAATTTGTAAGAGAGTAACTCACCCAAGGGTCCCAAGCGATGGCCGATGCTTACGTGAAGGACATCTTCTCTCATTAAGTAGTCCGGACCCCAGGCTTGTCTCGATGAATCTCCGCTTTTAAACAATCCGCCATGGATATAGACCATCAATGGCAAGGGTGTCTCGCTGTGCAGCTATTACGAGGATTATTATTTGATTATTTTTGATTAATAACAATTTACCCAACACAACATTCAGTATTAAACCAGTGTTCGAACAAGTATCAGTCTTGTGGACTTGAAAAGGTTTAAGGTAGACCAATTTCAAAAAATTAAAACTTCGTTTTTTTCAGATTATTTCAACTTCCATAGCTGCAATGAGAACGACACAGTTTCATTGCTTTTAAGTCTTTTAGTAGGCGTGTTATAGAACATTTTATTTAAAAAAAGCTTCACGGGTATAAAATCTTTGGCTCATCGAAGTTTACTTTCATTTATTTTTTAATTCGAATTTTTTTTATTTCTTAATCGTTTGGGTGGGAATAAGCTTTTCTTAAAGTTGAAGTTGAATTTTGGTATTTTGATAAAAACTCTAATTATGTTTGAATATGGGAATAATTACGGTAAAATTGCCTTATCTTTAAGTTGTTGTGTAATTCTGCTACGGAACTGGCACCAAATTAATTCTATGAAAAAGATCAAAGAAAAATATTTAAGTACCGAGCTCAGACAGTAAGTAGGAAAGGTACAAGGTGGCCACTTATTTTCTTTTCCTAGATATGTTTTAAAAGTATCTTGGTTCTCCCCAACACTGTATAAAACCAACGTTTCCGAATATAGACTAGATATTTTTGACACTTTAAGACTCACAGTTTTCACTGAAATATTCAAGTACAGGCAGTCCTCGGAACCCTCCACCAACTTGGTGTAGGAGCTCACTTGTAGGCACTTGTTCAAGGGCTTGGAACAATCTCGAACTCCATGCCAAGGCTTCAGATCGTGTGGCTCCTTGAAGCGCAGACTTCCGAGCGGAGGAACAGCATATGGAATGCCATCAAAAGCGTAAAACTGTTCGGCATATAGTGATTTAAGCAGAATGCCTTGCACTTTTCCATGTGTCGTCTTTACTACAGGCGAAATTTCACTACTGCAAGTTATAAGTATATTATATTATTGTGGTGCGAGTTGGCCTTAAAAATGTTCGCTTACTAATCGGACGTCATCTCCAAACTCGAGAAGCACACAACCTTCACTGTATGGAAATTTTATAAGAAGCAGAATTCCAGCGAGATAGTAGCTTCTTATCAAACTTAAAGCAAACTAACTATTTACAATGTCTAATTTCATGCACTTAAGCCACAGAACCACAGAATAATATATATAAAAACCATGTGATAAGTATCATGAACTTCAAACACAGTCACAGTAAGCCTCGTAACTCTAAGCCTAATTGGAAATGCTGTTTGTTTTACGATTTGTAGGAGAATTGCTATATATATGAAAACAAGTTGACCAGAATATTAAGCAAAAAAATGTAATGTTAAAAACAAATTTCTGACTATTAAATATATAATTGTATATTGTATATTAAAATGAAATTTCATAATATTATATACATTGCATATTAAATTACTTGATTAGATTTAGATATTAAATAGTTCCTATTTGATTAAAATCCATTTTATTTAATTTAAACATGGTTTAAATTTAAATTTAATTTTCAGATTTTTTAATACTATCCGAAAATATTCAAATGAAACAACTTGATATAGTCGTCCGACTTAAATACTACTTGCACTTGTAAGACAATTTTTAGAAAGTTTCATGCTGATAAAATAAGAGACTAGTTTGCGTATAAAGAGATTGCTTTATATTGTTACTGTTCTAATAACCGGGGAACTCGACTTTATAGTTTCTTCTTGGTTTAGTTCTGCAATGTGTTTCTAATGTTACACAAAATATATTGAATGCCTCCTCTAGTTCGATGAATCGAGGCCACCCCTACCCGTTATGGTGTACATCTACGGCGGCGGATATCGCACGGGCGGAGCGATAAGATCCAAGTACGGTCCGGATTACCTGATGAGCAAAGATATCGTATATGTGCTATTCAACTATCGGCTTTGTTCGCTCGGATTCCTAAGCCTGCCGAGTCGCGAATCGAATGTGCCGGGAAACGCGGGTCTCCACGATCAGTTACTGGCACTTCGCTGGGTAAGCCAGCACATCCGGAACTTTAATGGTGATCCGCAAAATGTAACGCTCTTTGGCGAGAGTGCTGGAGCTGCCTCGGTGCACTTCATGATGTGTCTACCGCAGGCCAAGTGTCTCTTCCACAAGGCCATTATGATGTCTGGGTCGATGCTAAGTCCCTGGGTAGAATCCCCCGAGAGTCAGAGTTTGTTCTGCCGCCTGGCCCTTGCTGCAGGATACAAAGGACCTGCGGAGGAAACATCCATGTTAAAGTTCCTGCGCCGCGTGGAAGCTGAGAAGCTGATGGGTCACGATTTCATCACAGCCCGCGATCGGTGCTTTGGATTTCTCAACGCCTTTGTTCCTGGAGTGGACCTTCTGGAGGGTGGTCTCATTCAAGTCCCCTTTCAGCAGCTTATGAAGGAGGCGTGGTCCGCAAAAGTGCCCCTGCTGCTGGGCGGCACTTCCTTCGAGGGTCTAGTCTGCTACCCCTTCTGCCAGCTGAACAATGGCTATATGCTGGAGCTGCTGAAACAGGAACCCGCGATGGTTCTGCCCCACGAGCTATACTGCTCGATGAGCGTCGAGGAGCGGAACATCGCCGCTGAGGCACTGGTGAAACATCACTACGGACCGCGCGGAATCACGAAGAATAACATCACGCAGATCTTAGATGTAAGTGGGCATTTGTTGATTTAACAAAAATATATAAACTCTTAAACAAGTTAAGTCTTAAACCACACGAAAGGCTTTTACAGAATGCTTAAGCTGATAAGAACAGTAAAAATATATATCTGACTGTTGAACTCCAAATGTTATATTTAATATTTAAATTTAATATTTAATCGTAATATTAAATACAATGTATATTAAATAGATAGATTTAATAGTAAAATATTTTAATTAATGTGGAATTTATTGCGTTTAAAATAGTTCTTTATTGATTTTAATGCATTATATTTAAGTAACATGGTTTAAATTTAAATCAAATTTTTAAACATTGAATTCACTTCCGAAAATACTCAAATAAAATAAACCTATTTTAATTGAGTACAAAATATTTCGATTTACTAAGATTTTTTACCAGTGTCGTTATTATTTTAAAACCTAAGTTTACGTTACGTTTTTGGAATTATATTTCTGACGACATGTCGTCTTTAAAAAAGTAAGTCGCCAGATTTGTTAACTCTTTCCGTTCACCCAGCTCTTTAGCTACAAGCTTTTTTGGCACGGCATGCATAGGGTTGTCCTCTCCCGATTATCCCACGCCCAAGCACCCACGTATCTATACCGGTTCGACTTCGATTCGCCCAAGTTAAACCTGATGCGAAACCAGCTTTGCGGTGACGACATCAAACGTGGTGTCTGCCATGCGGACGACTTGGGCTACATATTTCACAAGAAGGCCCAGAAGAAGCAGCCCGTGGATTCCGCGGAGTACCTGACCATCCAGCGAATGGTGGGCATTCTGACGACCTTTGCCAGGACCGGTGATCCCAACTGTTCGGAGACGGGGCCGGATCAGTGGCTACCCGTCACCACAAAGTCCCCCTTTAAGGTATTGAACATTGGACAGGATGTAGAGTGCGTAACGCAGTTTGAAAAGGAAGGACTGGAGGTGTGGAATCGGCTTTATAATAATAGGAAATTATTTGAAATGTAATTTCATATTTTATAATTTTTATAGCTATATTATATTATTGACTAAAATTTTATATTATGTAGTTTTCTGTGACCGGTTTGATTTATTTTGAAGATAAAAATACACATTTTCCTTCTTTCTATAAATTTAGACTACATCTGTATCACACACATAAATCAAACCTGACAATGCTTTTGGAGTTGTACGATTCAAATGAGCAGTGAATGAAGAAAATTGACAGTACCCGATATCCGATAGTAAAATACTATATGGAATTATTACCTTTAAATGGTAAAAAAAAATATCTACCTCTAACTCTTCCTCTTTTTTTATAACCTTGCAGAGGATATTATAATTTGCAACACAAAAAAGGAGACATCTCCGACCCTAAAAAGTTGGGTTGGTAGAACTTAGATAGTGTGCACTATCGAAGGTTTTACCTATCGATTGTGTCCGATATCGATAGTATCAAAAGTTTTTCAGGCTCTGAAAAATAGTACGAAATATCAATAAAACAAAACCAAATTTTTTAATTTATAGCTGAATAAGAAAATAATAATTTTTCGCTATAAAAATGTTTTCAATTTGGCAAATATAATTTGATTTCTGGGTTTGAAAAAACAACATAGCTCGTGCTAACATAACTGTTCGAAAAAGTAATGAAAATGAAAAAATTTCGAAGCTAAATAAAAATTTGATAATTCATAAAAATCTAAAAATCTAAATTTTTACGATGCGTGAGCTCATTTTTGTAAGTCAAACATGTTCAGTCCATCGTCTTAATTGTTGTTAGATTAGTTAGGTAATATGAGTCTTAATATAGTCATTTTATAAATACGAACAGAACAAGTTTTAGGACATACGAGTATACAGCATACATGTTTTTTTACAGAGCCAGAACACCGATAGAAGCAGAACTCACTTTTCGTATACGTGATATTTTTGTACCTGCACATAAAATGGTATTTCATTTAAAAAGGCGTTGGCTGTGAATATTTCTGAGTACGACACGTTAAATTACAATTCATTTCATGTTGTGCACCATTGTTGAAGTTGTTTTTTATCAAATGATAGAAAAGTTAAAATGTAAAATACGTTAGAGGTCAATAAATTTTATTTTTAAAAACTCTTGAAAAATAAACTTTTAGTCATTCCAAGGGCTTGAGTCTGATAAAAAACATACAGTATTTTGTGAATCAACTTCTAACTAATTCACAAACAACCACAGTTGTTCCATATTTGACGTCTTTTTACTTAAATGACGTTCAGAGGTTTCTTGACCATATAGAATAACGGTCTGAAGTTATAGCTTACAATACTCGACCAAAATCAAAACAAATCAATCCAAACAAACGGTTGGCAAATAAATTATTCAAATATATTTAAGTTTTCTCATTTTTTTTCAAATTGGAAAGAGCACTATTATTATTTTGACCGGGCGAAATCAGTCCACAGTCAGTCTTGTCAGTCATAACAAGATGTGAACGAAAAACACAACAATTACAAACATTTATGGATGAGGGGCGTTAGCACTACTATTATTGATTATACTTTGAGACTTTTTTTTTAAATCGTTGTAACGTTCGAAAAGTACAGTGGAAAATCGGCATAGCCTCTCGTTTTAGAGAAAATTTAATTTTCGCCATAAATGCACGGGTATATTAACTTCGCCTTGCCCAAGAATGCTTACTTTCTTGTTTAAAACATGCCTTATGATTAAACCTTAAAAATTGCAGTTCTAATTATATGATTTGTAAGATTGTTTTTTTACATTTTTATAATATTTTTGTTTTGGTTATTTTCGCGTCGTTCAACGTTTATTATTGTGTATTTTCACAGATTAATCACCTTTTGTTCCCACTGTTCAGATTTTCTGTGCTAAAGCTGATTCAAAGCTTTGCGGCAACGCCCCACTCCAGTCAAAAGCTTGGTGACCGTGTAAACAATTCCAGATCGCATCAATTTGTTTGTTTACATTAGTTTGGCCAGCGCGATCAAAATGTTGTTGACCCACTCGGTGGGCGGCCCACCCCTTTTGCCGCTTGATTTAGTGCCAAGAAGCTTTACGTTAGCCGAGCTGTTAGTTCCAGATACTTGGCTAAGTTGAAGATCAGTTAGATTAGCTACTAGAGTGAGCTTTTTGATTACCGACTTATGTGACTTGGATACTTGTCAATTTTGAAGATACTTAACCAGGAGAATTTTGTGCAGTGTTTATTAATTATGCATTCGTTTCCACCCGACGGCCCACGCTCGATGATCGCTTGTGGCTATATCAGTTATTCTGTTTATCTCGGCTCCGCACTTGAAACACAATTTTGTGTTCTTTTTGTATTTTTTATTCTCTCTGCGGCTCTCTACGCTCTTCTTTTTTGAGTAATTTGTATTCTGATATTTGTGTTAATGTAGTATTTTTTTTTCTATAATATTTTTTTCACTTGTTTTTGCCTATTTTGCGGGCTTTTTTGCTGGACGCTCCGCCGCTGGAATTCACTGTGAAAAAGTGTGTTTTTAATTTCAGTTTCGGTTTGGCGCTGGCGCGATTCAGTACGCAGCTCGTGGATATATCTATATATAGTTAATCGATCGGTTCGTGTGTGGCTGGCTAACTAGTCTACCCGAAATGAACAAGAACCTCGGCTTTGTGGAGCGCCTGCGCTGGCGCCTCAAGTAAGTTTCGACGTTGACCTTAATGCCGGGAATTATTTATTAAATTACCGCCGATTAATGCCGGAGAGTGTTCTATACTTTCGATTATTGTTGTTGTGCTTTTGTTGTGGTAGCTTTGTCAATTGAAGCGGTTCGTGTTTCAAGTTTTTTTGTTTGGTCCTCTCTCTTTTTACCAATATTTATTAGAAATTTTTGTTCTGTCGAGCATGACTAATTCGGTGGAAGATGGGGATTATTAATTTTTGGCGTTTTAATTGAGGCAGTTTTGCAGCCAGGAGATTAGATTTTGTAGAATTACGCAACCGTCATTAATACGATACGACTCATCGACGAACATCGTTGCAAGCTGATAAAATTGTTCTTTATTGACAACAGGCAACAAGCAAACAGCGAATCTTAGTTAAATTTACGGGGTCTATAAACTATTTTTATATGCGTAACAAAGCCTGTTTATACTTAAAAAATTAGTTCATTTAGTTCTCACCAGAAAATTATAAACATACATAAACAATTTTAGTCCACCAAAAACATTGCCAACAAAGTTTTCACATTTGCTTCTTTAATTCGAGAAAGTTTTTGCATAGGTAATAAAACTGTCACTTGTAACCATTAAACGATTCAATTCATAAATTTATATTTATTGCTTAATCAGAATAACGTGAACGATTTATTTTATGTTTATTGGCCTATATACCAGTAATTTCATGGCTTGCCATTTAATCGATATAAAAATTAAGTTGGTGTATGTAAATGCGTTCGAACTGTGCTGTATACTTTGTCATGTAATGTTAACAGTTTGGCCACTAATTGCATATTTTCACAATCAAAAAATATATAATAACTATTGTAGCTTTATTCCAAATATAATAAAAGTAGCTTGTCAATTGGCAATGATATCAAATATTGACTTTAGATTGATGTGGTCCAGTCATTGATATTCTCGTCCGGTACTTATCACACTTCAACCTTGATAATAAAGGTAAAGACGACTTGTAAATAGGTTCAGTTTCAACTCGCTCCACGTCATTTCACTTAAAATGTATTGCCACTAATTGTGAAATTAAAATTTTATCACGATGACAGCTAAATAGGTGTGATTTTATTTTGTTTCCTTGCTGTATTGCAATTAAAAGTCTGTAAAAGTCTGTTTGTTTCCTTGCTGTATTGCAATTAAAAGTCTGTAAAGGGTTCAGAATAATTATCAGCAATTTTCAACATTCTCGTCGTTATTACTATTGGATAGGATACATATGCACACGCATTTAATTCATGCTAGTAATTTAAAATTAAAGTGTATTTTTAAACGTCAATAGACCTGAAAACGAACGTATCTCGGGACCTTTCTGCCTAGAGGCACTTATTTTTAAATATAATCAAAATAATTAAGTCTACTTAAGAGCTTGGCCTGTGATAACAAACTGACAGCTGCTGATAAGACAGAACAATTGCCCATGCTTATTATATATTCAGAAGATTATGACGACACTTTGATGTTCATTAACGGCAGTAGAAGGGGTTGCCTGAACTTCAAATGATTTAAGTTCTGAGTACTGCATTGGTAGCAGCGGGCAGAGTTAATTTATCACAGACAGACACGTCTGGTTAGCAGGTGAACCACACAGAGGACTAAGCCACCCAAGCCTTATGTCCAGGATGAGCCTGCATCTATTGTTATGCGTACACTCAACCAAATTCAAGTCTACTTATTTTAATTCGTTAGAAATAAAACCCACTTTTCTACACAAAAAAGCGTTAAAAAACCAAGATAAAATTAGAGATAAACTCTTTACTGACAAAAACTTAATTCGTAACATAAGATTTTGCCAAATTTTCCTAAGCTATTAATTAAATGCTCATTGTTTTCATGAATTTGCCAGTCAGTGAAAGGTTTCTGTGAGGGAAAACTAAATTTTAGAATTATCAAAGCCATTTCTAAATATAAATAAATACGCACAGTTTTGTACCCTTGAAAAGATTATTATAATTTCAGTCAGTTTCTGTTACAGGTATTAAAAAAATCGGTGCAAGCCAGATCGGACTACTATATTATACGGCTTCCATTTGAAAAATTGAAAAATAAATGAACAAAAACTTAACCTTTGATTTTTTCCTTTTGAATATACATCGAGATAAACAGACAGTTACAGTTTTCAGAATTCCGGCATTAAATTTATTGAAATAGGGCAACGATATCATGTAGCTGCCATGGAAACGATCGGAAAACTATGCGGAAAATAGGCATAGCCTCTCCGAATTGGCGTTATAATGAATATTAAACATTTACGATAGCTGCAAGGGTATATAAACTTTAGTTTGCCGAAGTGGGCTTTCCTTCTTTTTTAACATTATATACAAATTCTATAAAGTTGATTTTAGCTTAGAATTAGACTAATATATAATTTATTTTATGAGCCGCTTATCAGCCTTAGTATTAAAGAATATTTTTCTGAGTGGTTTTGTAGAGATGAGAATTGGATTGTGATGAGCTGGTGGATGCAATGTGATGAACACCAGCAAAACAATTTAAATTTAATGCAATGCATGCAGTCTGCCTACTGGCATGTGGCTTTGAAAATAAATTAAAATAATTGGCTCTGTGACAAAAATATCAAATTATCCGGCTGCTAGTCGATCCCAATATTGTTATGCTAATTATACGTTCGCTCGGCGATTGCAGAACCATCGAGCATAAAGTCCAGCAGTATCGTCAGACGACCAACGAGACCGTAGTCGCCGACACCGAGTACGGCAAAGTGCGGGGTGTGAAGCGACTGTCGCTCTACGACGTGCCCTACTTCAGCTTCGAGGGAATCCCCTACGCCCAGCCGCCGGTGGGGGAGTTGCGGTTCAAGGCCCCGCAGAGACCCACCCCCTGGGAGGGGATTCGGGACTGCAGCCAGCCCAAGGACAAGGCCGTCCAGGTGCAGTTCGTCTTCGATAAGGTTGAGGGCTCTGAGGACTGCCTCTACCTGAATGTGTACACCAACAATGTGAGTATGGCCAAAGAATAGAAAATGATGCAGATAAACATACAATATGAAGTACTAAAAAAACTATGATATGAACGGCAAGACTCGAACCACCAAAATTTGTTTGACAGTCTAAGGCTCTTCATTCACCAACTTGTACTATGCGCTTTGGTGCGTTTAAGGCTTGATCATTGGCTTTGAAGCCTATGATTTGAACTTTGTTTTGCCATCTATGCCTTAATGTGTTCTAATTAAATTTAATTCCAGTTCAATTAATTCCAGTCCAATACGTAAATGGAGGATGCTGATTACCACATCTCGTTTATTAATTAACAAGTTTTGTTTTATAATTTCTTACATCATTTGTGACGGCATTCTTAGCCAAAACGCCTTCATCTCATGCCTTGCTGACTAATATTTATTTTGAGAAAACTTTTACTTACTTTACGAATAATGCCATCATTGTGCAACATGACAGTCAAATTTATTAATGAAGATTATGCGATAAAAATCTTGTAATCTTTTGAGATAAAATTTGGCACCAAAGTTCGAGAAGATAAGTCTGTTTTTGAATATTTAAACTCAAAGTAATTTTTTAAATCACTTAAATATTTGTATTTGCTTAAAGTAAACACTTTTTATTACGATGTTTGTGCTGCGAATATTAAGATACTAAAGACTGTTTATTAAGACATTTTAAATTGAATTCTGTCAAGAGTATTTGCTTTGAATAAAAACAAGAAATTTGTGCCTTGCAATCTACTAAAACCTTTTTCCATTTCAGGTAAAGCCCGATAAGCCCCGTCCTGTTATGGTTTGGATCCACGGAGGGGGCTTTATTATTGGCGAAGCCACTAGGGAATGGTATGGTCCAGACTATTTCATGAAAGAAGATGTTATTCTCGTCACCATACAATATCGACTTGGAGCTTTGGGTACGATACAAGTCCGAATAGCAAACAGTTGTACTAACTATTTTACACCAACAAAGGTTTTATGAGTCTGAAGTCTCCCGAGCTGAATGTTCCCGGAAATGCTGGTCTCAAGGATCAGGTATTGGCTCTCAAGTGGATCAAGAACAATTGCGCCAGTTTCGGTGGAGACCCCAACTGCATCACCGTCTTCGGAGAGAGTGCAGGCGGAGCATCGACCCATTACATGATGATAACCGAGCAGACCCAAGGACTCTTCCACCGCGGTATCCTGCAGTCGGGCAGTGCCATTTGCCCGTGGGCCTTCAACGGCGACATCACCCACAATCCCTACCGCATAGCCAAGCTGGTGGGCTACAAGGGCGAGGACAACGACAAGGATGTGCTGGAGTTCCTGCAGACCGTCAAGGCCAGGGATCTCATACGGGTCGAGGAAAATGTCCTGACTCTGGAGGATCGCATGAACAAGATCATGTTTGCCTTCGGGCCATCTCTGGAGCCTTTCGTCACGCCCGAGTGCGTGATTCCCAAGGCGCCCAAGGAGATGATGAAGACCGCCTGGAGCAACTCAATCCCCATGATGATAGGGAACACTTCCTACGAGGGACTGCTGTGGGTGCCAGGTAGTTTTAGTTACTTCGCTTGTCTCCCAAAATGAATTCCGCACTGCTCACATTCACGCTCTTCTTTCACAGAGATCAAGATGATTCCACAAGTGGTGCAGCAGGTGGATGCCGGTACTCCCTTTATTCCAAAAGAATTGCTAGCCACGGATCCCAGTAAGGAAAAGTTGGATTCATGGAGCGCACGGATTCGCGATGCTCATCGCACAGGAGCAGAAAGCACCGCGGATAACTATATGGATGTAAGGGATGTAACTATATCAGCAAAGAGCTTAGATAACTTTAAATGCTCATTCTCCGCCAGCTCTGTTCGATTTACTACTTCGTGTTTCCGGCCCTGAGGGTGGTCCATTCCCGACACACCCATGCCGCTGGAGCTCCTGTGTACTTCTACCGCTTTGACTTCGACTCCGAGGAGCTCATCTTCCCGTACCGCATCATGCGAATGGGTCGGGGTATTAAGGGAGTGAGCCATGCCGACGACTTGACCTACCAGTTCACAAGTCTGCTGGCTCGCCGACTGCCCAAGGAAAGCCGCGAGTTCCGCAACATCGAGCGAACCGTGGGGATCTGGACTCAGTTCGCAGCCACCGGAAATCCGTACAGTGAGAAGATCAGTGGCATGGACACTTTGACTATGGGTCCAGTTCGGAAGTCCGACGAGGTCATCAAGTGCCTCAACATCGGCGATGAGCTTAAGTTCATCGAACTGCCCGAGTGGTCCAAGGTCAAGGTCTGGGAGAGCCTATATGATGACCACAAGGACTTACTGTTTTAAAGGGATCAAAGTGAATAGCTGAATGAATAGAACTTGTACATATATAGGACAAAATGCTTTATAAAATATATTCAATAATTTGCTTGTTCGATAAGAATACTTTTATTATTCAGGAAAATACGTTTGGAAGTATGTCTGTTTTATTTGCCAAAAATAGTTTCTAGCATTGTTGTGCTATGCAATCTACAAAATAAACATTTTTTTTTTCTATGGCCAATGCATCTATTATCTATTTTATATAAGTTAATAGACTTGATCTTGTTTGATTTATTAATGTTTTTCTTCATGTTTGAATATGTGGAACAGGGCGTCCCAGTCCCTTTCGACTTGGTTGTCAGTTTTCAATTAAAGCAATAGGGAAATTCTTTTTTTTTTTTTAGACTTAAACAAATTGAAAAGTTATTTTTCGTCACGCACGGAAAGCAAAGGAAACACTCTCCGATTCCGTTAATAGAATGGCTGCCACTCGCCGTCTGACCCGGGAGCTCACCGATTTGATTGGGGCCAAGATGAGCACTCTGCGGGACATCGAGAGCAGCGACGATTCCCTGCTCATGTGGACGGGTTTGTTGGTGCCGGAAAAGGCGCCGTACAACAAAGGCGCTTTCCGCATCGAAATCAGCTTCCCGCCACAGTATCCCTTCATGCCGCCCAAGATCCTTTTTAAGACGAAGATTTACCACCCCAATGTGAACGAGAAGGGCGAGGTATGCCTGCCGATAATCAGTACAGACAACTGGAAGCCGACTACGCGCACTGAGCAGGTCCTCCAGGCCCTGATTGCCATCGTCCACGACCCGGAGCCAGAGCATCCGCTGCGCTCCGACCTGGCCGAAGAGTTCGTGAGGGACCACAAAAAATTCTTGAAGGCCGCCGAGGAGTTCACCAAGAAGAACGCGGAGAAACGACCGGAGTAAGGTCAGCAGTTCACGTAATTTGTATATCAAAATTAAATAAAGTTTAGGCCATGAGTCACAGCCTGTCGCGCATATATGGTCCTTACTTTAATTGAGCAGCTTACGTCGATTTTCCGCTGAATTTTTCCATCCATCCTTTGGCAGCCCTATGATACGTTGTCCGATTTTCATAAAATGAAAATCGTATTTCTGAAATGGGTAGGGCTCAAAGGCCAACAAAATATCTAATTTCGTGTTATCGCTTTTTAAGTGTGGGCAACTTAAATTTTTTTTTATACCCGTTTCATATTGTCATTTTAAGTATATATAAAAAACAAGAAAGAACAGTCTAGTCGAGTTTCCCAAAAGGAGGCAGAGGACTTCAAAACCACATAACTTCTAAAATATTAGCCCGATTTTGAAAATGTCTACCGATAGATATGACCGAAACACACACACAAAATCTTACCTACGGTCTAACATATCTCAGAGCGACGTGACAGACCTGTTTTGCGATTTGTGTGCGTTTTGAAATAAATTTGCACCGAAATTCGTACTACATTTTTTAATAAATGTGACAACATCTGATTTGTGGAATTGGCTTAACACAGTTGGGAATTTTAAGAACACATGAGGGAGAAAAAACCGAATGGTTAAAATTAATATGATTGGTTTACTACTAGTTACAGAGAAACAGAGAAAAACATGAAAGAACGCTGTAGTCTTGTACCCTGACTGTTAGATTCTCTTTACTCAGCCAACAAACTTTAACCTTAGTATTTCCCCTACAAAACAATCGAAGTTAAGGTGGCGCCATCTGTCGAACTGCATAGCCATCACTAGAAGCGTGCAGCACACCCACCCCCCGCTTACAGTTCTGTAATTCTCACTCTCTCTCTTTCTCTCTATCATCTGCTAGTAGCGGCAAAACAGAACATACTTTTCAGTATACCTTTTTACTCTACAAGAACACATAAGTTTACTGTCAATACAGTAAAGTAAGGTATCATAATTTTTTAGTAAGCTTACTATTAAAGTTCGTTTTCTCATGCAACCAAATTTATTGCTATCTATTGATAAGTATATCAGAATTTTTAAGAACAAAGAACATAGTCAAAAGATGGTTGTTTTCTAGCATTCGATCAAAAGTCCTTCAGGGTAAAATTTTTAATTTTGGGCCTCCGTCCAATTCATTGCTCCCCATAAAATATATATATATGCTTTTGGGAATCACATGTTTGTATTTTCAATTGAAAGTTCATTAAAATTTTGACATGGTCGTGATGAGGTGAACCTAATAAACCAGCCGCTTTATAAGTGGGAATTACCCTCTCTGACTTTAATTGACCAATTAAGTTCTGAATAAAATTTGGCATATAAAAATGAAAAACGGTTTCTACTATTCATAGTAAAAAGTTATAAGCTTACTTATCACAAAGAAATAATTTTGATTAAAGCACGTCAGGTTGCGTGGCTAAATGGGGGGAATGGCGCAGTAAGTCGAAGTAATACTCTATAATTACGCGAACTATATGTTGCAGGTAATTGCCATCAAGGGAATATTACTCAATTAGTTGGGAGTATTTTTTCGATGGTCTGCCATGTTCTTATATCGATTGTGTGTAATGCCCTTGCTGTACAATTCGAGCCAATGATGGTATTTGGTAATGAAATCATGTAGATTTATCAATGTCATGTCATAGGGCACTTTAATTGTATTTAACAGCACTTAATTAAATTACTGGAATTATTAAGTAATGCGGAAAAATGCTTTATTATTCACTGAGTCAAAATAAATGTATTAATGAATAATATATAAATGCAATTAACAGGGTTAGGCAACCTTATACTCACTTCAATCCAAATTGCTTTTATTGTACAAAAATTAAATGAACAAATTGTTTTGTAAGCCGTAACTTATGTGTAATTGTTAATAAATTTAAAAAAATGAGAAAATTAAAGTGATAGTTTTTTTTTTGTCAAAATTGTAAAACAAAATTGTAATAATTTAAACAATTCTAAATTGTTAGGTAAAGCTATCTTATATAAACTTCAACACAATAACCGAAAATGAACTAATTTAATGGAGTAATTTAGTTGTTAGGTGACTGCTGTAAAACTGTCTAGGCAATTATTTGAGGGCCTGTTTGAGGTTCAATGCAAAGCAACAAATTTTATTTTAACGAATTGACTTTCAACTTAATGCGGTAAGTGCCCCGAATAACTGTTTTAGATTTTTAACGTTAAACTTTTGCATCTGTTTTGAATTGCTATATATATATAGTTAAGACTAACTAAACATAAATATTTTAGGATTACTAGGCAACCTTAAAGGAATGCCCGAAACTCCGCCTATAGTTGGCAATAACATTAATAACAATTGTGGGGGTGATAGGCTAATACCGGCGCATACTATAAACAATAAACAAAGCGGCAGCAACAAAAACGATAACGCCTAAACAAAACAACGGCGCCCAGAACGGCCAGCAAGCGGACTCACTCGAGCAGACCGAATGCCCAAGGCGTTTGAGTGCACAGCACACACAAATGCGCGGCAACCTAAAGCTAGAATATCACTCATACGACCCCGTGGCCAGTGCGGTATGGGCAAACGAGTGGAAAATCATCATCCACACGCTGCCAGTGCTTTTGTGTGCGAGTCGAACGTTGGCGGGCACTAAACTTAGCCGGCGCTTACTTTGAACGCTCAGTTGCCGAGCGGACCCTGAGTAAAGCGCAACGTCAGCCTTAGATTCTCAGGCTAGAAATCGGTCCCTGCAATCCGGTGCCTTTATTTCAATTAATTCTCATCTGTGAAATTAGAGCAGTTACGGCTACGGCAACAAGTGATGTGACTTTGTGGGTTCTGTGAAGCGTGTGAAAAATCTGAATTTATTTCGCATAAAAACAAAAAGTTACAAGGCACACGTTTTAAAGGGCCAGCAGCTGGCTCGAGTTCCATTGCGCATTCGCCCCGTTGTCCAGTTGTGATTTTATAGACATTCCGTGTATGCCGTCCGCGTTTATTTTCAATGGGATTTTGAACAGCTTGCCACTTGTGTTTTGTGTACTTAATAATTTCTCACATATAGACATATATACCCGGAAGGGAATTGAGTGTGGCCGGCGGCGTGAGACCACATCAAGATGTCATTCGATATAGCCGTGGCCGATCAGATGCGCATTGCGCTGAAGTAAGTCTAACTGTGCCTTTTTTTCGTTATTATTGCAATTCTTTTTGAGTCAACAATGCAACGATATTTGCAGTGAATAAGTGTCTAAGACACATATTTCGGGTTACTTCAACAACAAACATTCCGTCGGCGTTGAGTTTAGTTAATCCATCAATCAGTTAGGTCAATTGGGGAATAGCATACTCATTAGCATACGAGTCTCAAGTTGAGGCGCATTGATAAGAAATGTCTGGCCCGCCGAGCCTTATTTCTTATCAATCGATTTGAGGCTGCTGTAGTAAAGACCCGAATCCGGTTCACCATTGGGGTCTTATTAATAGTCATTAAGCCACCGATAAGCCCTCGTGTCTGCATCCGCATCACCGTCGTTGCCGATAATCAAATCAAAGCGTAATCAAAACGAAGTCTCGCCAAAGGAATGATGTTAAAGCCCGTCTAAAATCAGCAGACATCTAGTGTGTACCTTGTACCTCTTCAGCATTACGCATCAGTTCTAAAAACCAAAATCGGGGATCCTGAGTGCGAAAAAGTTCAAGTGAGTTATGTCGAAGCAAGCCACAAAACTGATAACAGACAGCTTGTTAGTGCTGCTGTTTGGGCGAATTATCAATTATCAATTGTCAGTATCGGCATATAGACTGATAAGATTTTTAAATACCTTGGCTTACAGCTCAGTTGACGCTTCTGGTGCGTCAGTACGAAGATTACTCAACTGTTTTGCCACCCGTTGATATAAATCATATGTAAAAATAAATACAAACACAACTATAGTTTGAGTGCCAAATCAAAATAATATTTAATAAGAATCACGTTTGTGAAATTTCAAGGCAATTATTATTGCAGTCTCAGCACAAAAGTTTTAACCTAAAAGTCAAAAAACAAAGAAGTCGAGGAAAAAAGAAGCTAAAAGCACTAACGAAGAAGTCAAGCAAGGTAAACAAGAGACCAAGAAGTTCAATGGATGAATGCAAATCGTTTCGTCTTTAAAACAACAATCGTTGACCTTTGCCTATGCCGTACATAACTACCTATTTTTGCCCTTAAATGCCTAATTTACTTCCCACACGATACATTTAATTTCCAATCTGAATGTTTGAAGCAACTAAATTGGCTTGAGAACTGAAATCAATTTGAACAAAATTACAATTTCAATTGTATATTTATTCCATCAATTCTTTTAATTCGTCAGCAATCCCAACGATTAAGAGTACTCAACTAGAAACAGTTGCAGATATTATTCAACGTTTTTTTATCAAAAGGTTAAATTTTTTTGAGAAGAAAGGCAAAACAAAAAGTAAATAAAACGAGTTTGATCAAATATCAACCGCCTTTTATAGCATTCTGCATCGCTTTACACACGAATGCATGAATTCGATAGATAAAAAATATGAAATAATATATTTTCTTTATTTTTTTTTGGGGCGAAAGTATTGAATACTGAATGCACTCAAGCAAAATGCCATTGACCTGCATGCAACGCTTTGATGCATGGCAATATTGATTGATTTTCTGAAATTTTCCGTTTTCATTTCCATTTCACATCTTCTCATACGAATTTTAATTTGTAAATATTTTGAGTTGCCCTGTGCAAAGTTTATTTTCCTAAAAAGAATACAAACACACACAGGCAATTATTTTTGAAATGGAATTGATTTTGGATTTCCTTAATCTGTTAATTTTGATTCCAAGACCAGAAAGGCAATTCTCTGATAATTTTGTGTCCATGCGGGTATGAAAAATCAAATGTTCAATGGTGCAAAAAATCTAATCTGCTTAACTGAGAACAGTCAAAAATCAAGTTCGAAGCTGGAATTATGTGTTACTCAACAACTCGACTTAGGGCTCGACCTCGACTCAAAACATGCAATTAGCACTTGATCTCTAATAGATCACACCAATTG